TACACGGCTTTCTCCTACGAACGACTGGGAATCGCGCCGATCGAATGCGGTTGGGTCCATTTGAGGTTTGAGGCCTGAAGCTGGACAAAAGGACTGGGCCTCTGGGATATTACCTGCGCTGCTGTTGTACTACCAGACCTGGTCAGGCTAATATATAATCGCGCACAATGAGGCTTACACGGACTGCAAGGCTGGTAGTTGTTGCTGGCCAACTCGTTCTCCCCTTTACTCTTGCACAGGACTATGTAAGTGTGCTGGAGTCAGTGACCTCAGAAGCATATGGACCCTCACCGACGCCGAGCACCATTGGAGCATTGTCCTCGGTATCTACTATATCAAGCGCACCATCGCCATCACAGACATCGTCGTCAAACGAACCAAAGGTCCATATTATAAAAGCTGGTGCAGGAGGCTTCAAGTTCACGCCTCAAGAGATCCAGAATGTATCGGTGGGCGATATCGTGAGCTGGGAGTTTTATCCGCGTGATCATTCGGTCGCGAGAGCAGAGTTCGGATCAGCATGCGTGCCATACGAGTACACGGGGAAAGACAAAGTCGGCTTCTGGTCGGAAACGCAGTGGGTCAATGATACAAGCCAGGTTTGCTTCTGCCCGGACGTGCGACGGTGTTTAGGTGATATTGACTTGTGTCTAGATTACCCACTTCAACATAACCATCAACTCGACCGAGCCCATCTTCTTCTACTGCGCGGCGCCGGATTCGTGCCGCCGCGAGCACATGGTTGGAGCCATCAACCCGAACTCTACGCAGACGCTCGCCTCGCAAGTGCACTCCGCCGCTATGGCCGACTTTCAGGTAGCTCCTGGTGAACCAATCCCGGCAGAGGCTTCGTCGACCCTTTCTGCTGCACCCACATCGACGGGAACACCTCCAGCAAACAGTGGTGGAAAGGGCAATAGTCACGTGCTTTCTGCAGGCGCCATAGCGGGTATCGTTGTCGGTGGTGTCGCCTTCCTGGTCATCTGCGCTGCTCTTTTCTTCTTTGTCGGACGCTCCAAGTCGCTCAAGGAAACGCTCAAACGACGAGATGCTACAAACACCATGCCGTCGCATATGAGTCAGCCATACGGGGGCGGGGCGAACTACGGCGACGGAGGACTCGCGTCACCTGGGTTCCAACCATCTCGTCCTGGATATGCCACGCCGCCGCCGCCTGGCCATCACGCGGACTACGGATTCGGCTCGCCTCCTCAGTATGGCCAGCACGCTGTTGGAGAAGCACACCCGAGTGGATGGAGCAGCCCATCGCCGCAACCCGGACACCTGAGCATGATGAGCAACACGAGTGGCATGAGCCAGCAACAGTAAGTGTGGTGAAGCGAGTTTGGCGACTATAATTATATGCTGACGTTTTTGTTTTGTAGGATTGATCAATTGAAGTACGCGCACATGAATGCACAGCCGACTGTGGCAGAGCTTCATAGTCCGCCACTAGGACATCAGTCTTTCTCGGCCGAACTTGAGGCGCCTAATAACGACAAGGGGGCGACGAGATAGAAGTGTGAGGCTTTTTTCTTGATAGGGCGGTGTTTTTCTTTTTCCTCTAATCTATGGGGACAACGCGATACCACTACCGAACATCGGAGGGCAAGTTGGCGGAGTTAGTTTATCATGTGACCAAAGAATATTCAAAACCATGTGTTTGCCAGTGACGATCGTGGAGACAGAGTGGGCCTGCACTGAAATATGTAGCGAGGTGGCAGGTCGGGTTGATGAGTCGCGCACCGAGTGCTGCCTGAGCAGTCGGGCATCGAGTTGATCAACTGGCAGAGCGTGGCCGCGCAACAGCCCCTGTAATGGTTTCCGATAAAAAAAAAGACGGCGAAAAAGGACATGCTATTTGTTGTGGGCGGCGACAGGTAAAGGATAGGCAGCCATGGCTCCCCCCTCTCCCCACCCGGGAGTGTGAGTGCGAGCGGGCTCGGAAGATACGGCAAGCCGGATCTGGACTTGGGGTCGATGCAAACGAGGGACACACACACACATGTGCATGTGCATACACAGGGTGTGCAGCTGGATTCCGTCGGGCCTTCTCTGAGTGGCGGGCTATTGCGTGCGCGTCGGGGGGGGGGTGAGGGGAGGCGTCGAGTGAGGAGGAGAGAAAGAGCAACGTGCTGGGCTACAGGCGCACTAGCGCGGTTGCCCGTGGTGGGGTGTTATCGCAGGGAAGGGAAGGCGCCGTGGCGCGAATTAGGTAATCCGATGCTCGAGGGCAAGGGCACCACCACAAGGCAGCCGCCTGGGCACATCAGGGCCAGTGTCTGCGAGGCGAGGGCGAGCAGCAGCGAGGGCGCACACACACATAGTATGCGTATCTGATACAGCGAACTCTCCACGAGAACCCGCTCGGCGAGCTAGGAGGGGGGGCGGGCGGAAGCTACTGCTACGTTGCAATCCGTCGTCATGTTCGTGTTCGTCTTCTGGAAAAATTGGGCGTGGACAGGGAGGTTCCCGTGGGCTGGCCGGGCGGGCGGGCGTGCCATTGGGCGGCGGCAGGCGGGCCCGCGCAGGCAGCGGTGAGAATTACTCGCACTGGCACTCGTTGGTGGTGTTCTCGCGCAGGGCAGGGCAGGCGGGCCGCATTCGGTGTGTCAGCGACGGCGGCCTACTGAAGCCGCCAGACGTCACACGTGCTGCTGCTCTCGTCGCCAGGCCAGCCAAGGCCAACCTTTGCACCAGCGAGCGAGCCCTTGGATGCATGTCCGGATGAAGCCTTTTTGCGCCCCCAGCCCTGGACGCCGCCGCCTCTCTCGCCCACGTCTACGTCGCCGCCAGCCTCTCGCGCCCTCGTGCCCCGGGCTCGACTATTATGATGTGCATTGCGGCTGCCCGATACTGTCACCCATCTCCGCCCTAGGATCCCGCCTCCCGCCTCCCGCTCGCGCGCCCTCGACATGATCACATCCTCGCCCACAATCTCCCAACCGCCCTCGCCCACGACTGCCTTCCACCCCCCGGCTGCCCACCGCCCCTACCAGCATGCCTCACGACGCCCGTCGGCCTCGTCCACTGCCCCCTCGCCGCGCTTCGCCGTGACCACGGCTGCTGCACGGCGCTTCGACGCGCCGCCCACGCCCAAGGCCTGCTTTTCGGCGCCTTCGCCAGCACCGCCGCCGCCCGCCTCGCCCCAGGGCTGCAAGAGGAGCTACGTGGATCACGGCACCCAGTACACCCCGCCCGGCTTCCCCCCCACCTACCGCCCACAGCCCCCCCAAGACGCCCTCGCCCTCGCCCTCGACGTCGCCCAGAGCCGCACCGAGACGCCCGCCCGCGACCTCGCCACGCCCACCGACGCCGCGCCTGCCCACGCCTCGAGTGCTGCTGCCATTGCGCCCACGGAGCGGGGCATTGCCCCCGCCGCGCCTGCCGTCACGGAGCCCACAGAGCCTCAATTGCGGCCCTCGCCGCAGCCTGCTGCGCCCGCACACGATGCATTGACCCGTCCGCGTTCGTCGTCGCGCGAGAGCGTGCCCGCTGCCACAGAGCCCGCGTCCGTTCCGCCCGCCGTGAGCACCGTCTTGCAGGTGCCTGCATCGCCAGCCAAGCGAGCCCGCCCGCAGGAGCCCAGCCTCAAGGTCATGCCCCTCCAGTACGAGACGTGCGATGTCAAAGACCTGGGCGTGCTCATCTCCGACATGCTCATGGAGCTGGTGCGCCTCAACGACGGCTACCCGCTGCGGGACGGTACGCTGACAAGATTCCACTCGAGGTGTGTTTTTCCCACCCCACGACGCACTCAAGTCGTTCCTTTGGCTGACTCGTACCCCTCCTCACAGAGCCCCGCCTGGCATATCCGTCCGCGACTACCTCTCGCGCCTCATCGTGCACGCTACCTTGTCTCCGCCGATTCTCCTCTCCATGGTCTTCTACGTCGACAAGCTGTGCGCCATGTACCCCGCCTTCACAATCAGCAGCTTGACGGTGCACCGATTCCTGATAACGGCCGCAACCGTGGCGGCCAAGGGCTTGAGTGACAGCTTCTGGACAAACAGCCTGTATGCAAGAGTGGGTGGTGTGAGTGTGCGTGAATTGGCACTGCTGGAACTGGAATTTCTCAGGAAGCTGGAGTGGCGCATTGTGCCCAAGCCCGAGGTGCTGGTAGACTACTACAAAGGCCTGGTCGACCGTGGGGCTGGATACATGATGGAAAAGGAGCCAGCATCAGCACCAGCCACCAGCGCGGACCAAACGCTCGCCTCGAACGGGTCGGCGACGGGCATTCATACACACGAATCAGGCATGTAGTGACGGTGGGTACAATTGCCGAACAAAACACTGGCCACACTACCTAGTACTGCGATGAAGCAATCAGTGTGCTGTCTGGGACCTCGATGTGTGGAGCTAATTGGTGCCCTGTGAATCGTGGACCACCTGATGTCTTGGACGCCAAAGCACATCGTGGTCACGTCTGTATGGGAGTCTCCAGGGCAGACGGGTCGGACGATGAGCTGGCGATATGACCTGGCAGCAACGAGCCCGGCGGACCATGTGTGCCAACAAGGGACGGCTCACAAAGGTCCAGCAGACACATCAGCGCATGATGGCAATACGGACCATGGGCGGCGGTATGGATGCCATGGAGCGCAATGGGTTCGTCATAGCAGAGTTGGGTGCGCCCATGATAGGTGTTTGATGCAGCTGTGGACGGATTCGGGGGGTCGGGACATTGATAAAAGCGCTGCATCAGCCGAGTCGCTGGGGCTGGGGCTGGGGCTGGTGCTGGCGTGAACAGGACGACCCACCGGATCTGTATGTAGGTCGTCAGAGCGAGCGCCACGTGCAATGGCACATGGCAGGGATGCTATTGGCTAGATAGCGTGCGTCGCGGAATAAGAGAAGCGTTTTGAAGGCAGAGGCGAGTGGTGTGGTGTGGTGTGGTGTGCCGTCGTGTGCTGGAGAGTGGCAGGCGAGAGCAAGCGACGGGTTGCGCCGCTAACGTGTATCCCGTGAGTAACGTGGACGAGTAGGATGCGTGCATGAGGGCGGCCTAGTCAGTTGCCCGCTGTGCTTCCCGAATAGTGAGGCTAGCCGTCGACCTTCGATGGGCGGTCCTGACGTGCCATCGAGGCATCCCCGCTGACACGGCGGAGCGCATTCTGTTCACGGCTGCAAGGGCGCAGGCAAGGGCTCCCACTGCGACATGCGTGCCTTCGTCGCCTCGCCCGCTGGCCTTGAAGTGAAACCGTCTCGCCCTCGATTCCCCCACCCCCCACTGCCGCTGCCGCTGCCGCTGCCACTGCCACTGCCGTCGTCCACGCGTCTGCCCGTCACGAAACCCGCTCCCCCAGCACACGTCGTGTGTCTGCCCCTTGCCTCAAACACGCTCGCGACCGAGACGCAGTCGTCACCACGGCCCGCGGTAAACGCGTCCTGCCCGAGACGTCATAGCCCGAGCAGTGCGCCTTGCGTACTATGAAGGTCAGTTGGTGGTTGTTACGAGAGAGCGCGAGAGCGCGAGAGAGAGCGCGCGCCCGCCGCATGTGAAGCCTCGCCATGTTCCTCGCTTGCTATAGTTTCACCTTCCCGGTACTGCTACAGACGCCTCCACCACCCCCCGCGTGCCCTGGTGGCTTGCCGACTGCGTCGCGACATGCTCCTGGACCTGCCCCGAATCCGACAGCACACTTACTTTTGCAACAGAGCCTGACGTAGCCCCTCTCGACCAGAGTGCTATGCATCAGAGATGAACTCTGAATACGCCCGCTGGGATGCTAGCCAACGCCAGTACGATAGCCAATGGGGCGCGCGCCGCCCCGAACCGTCGTCGCTGCCGTGTGCCCTGCCGTATGCCTTTCCCGAGCCCTTCCCGCAGCTCAACGACGACTTCCAGCAGCTGCAGATTGTCAAGAGCTCCCGCACCCGCACCACGCCCGTCGTCACCCGCACGCGCATCTCCAGACATGGCTCCGAGCCAAACCCCATCCGCCCCTCGTCCAGCGGCGGCGAAGTCCACATGGTCCCCTACCAGAAGTGCTCCTCGTCCCGCCGCGCCGGCTCGTACTCGCACCCCACACCCCTCGAAGACTTTCGCAGGTCGAGACGATGGCCGCCCAAGGGATACCGACTAGAAGACGCATTGGAGCCCGCAGAGGCCGAGGACCTCATCTGTGCAGGCGCCTCTACCTTCAAGGGCTACCGGGACGCAATACCAAATGCCCCTGAAGGATACAATCGCTTCTACGCCGTCATGGAGGCTGAGCACCAGAGCCGCACCGACCGTGCATCGTTTCAGCAGCAGGCCTACAGGGACATCTCGTTGAACATGACGGGCACGCAGGACAACCAGTTCCCCTGGCTATCGCACGAGTACCCCTGCATGGCATATGCCTTTGGCAAGAGTGCAGGAACCACGACGCTCAACTACTGGGTCAGCAAGTCTGGAACAAGCCATGCGCCCGTCAAGTTTGCTGGCGACGCGCAGCCGCGAAAGATCAAGCTCCTACAGATCCTGGACAGGCTACAGAGGCTAGAGAACGGACTCAATGAAGATGTCAGTCAACAGCTATCCGCCGGGTGCTTTTGGGTTCCTTTGCCTAACTTTGCTTCTTCTAGGATCCCGAGGAGATGTATCGCTACTTGTACCACACGCTCATCGAAGATCCGGAACGGCACGACGAGGACCGCCGCCACATCCGGATTGACCAGCAGATTACTGACCTCATTACCGTGTTGAGCAATCCGCAGTGGATAGACTTTTCGCACCCGAGAAATCAGGTGGTAGCAAAGTTCTTTGATGCGCCTGATCAGCGCAAGAAGCAAGATTTCTTTCATCAGCTCTTGCTCTCTGTCGAGTTGTACCTGCGCATCCATTCCAAGCACCATTCGGAAAAGTCCAAGCGCAAGCTGATTATGCAGCTTCCTCCGGTCATCACGTGGGATCTGGCTGTCGCGCAGCGGTGGCTGGAGAATATGGAAATTACAAAGACGCGAACATCGTCTACCCAGAGCACTTTTAGCTTCGATTTGAGGAGCAAAACCAGGCAAATTGAAGCTCTAAGGATCTTTGCCGCAACGCTCAAGTGGCCGAACATGGACGAGATTGAGTACATCTTGGAAGAGCGGGATGCCAATGAAAAGGCAGTCGAAGACAGGTCGGCAGATGCCATGTCATGGTTCTCGGGCATCATCTTGCCTGGCCGGACACTGCCGTGGCTCATCATGAACAGTCTGATCGATTGCGACCAGGATACTGGCGACGCACTCAAGTACCTCACGCACATGCACCAGGCATCGGGCTTTCAGTACCGAGCCAACACGTATTGGTCGTCTCAATGTATCGTTGGCAAAGTGTTGGGGGCTGCGCGTGGCGTGAAACAAATTGCAGGCTGGATCGGGCCATGCATCTACACCCCTGACCTCAAACGGACAGAGTGTGTGAAGATTAGGCAGCTTGAGTCTCCGGATCCTGTGCTCGTGCCAGTCGACGTCGAGAGTATGGATGATCGCACGAACCCTCTGGGAACAATCGAGGATAGCTACCCAATAGATGACTACGAAGTACCCATGCCAGACACGGAAGATGTCACGGATCTGATACGGATGGAGAAGCTTCGCTTTGTGCCCATCAAGGAACGATCAGAAGGCACCCGACATGGTTCAGGCCCGCCAATGGTCTTTGATGCAGCAATCTCATTTGCATGTGGCGGCGAGAGCTGGCCCATGAAGCTGCGATACGATGTCAGTTTCATCAACGCATTCCCGTGCCACCAAGGGCCTCATGGTACGTAGTATGATGTACAAAGACCATGACGGTATGCTGACTCCACCAGTACTGTTCTACGACTTTTCGTACAAAGCGATCAAGATCGACGAAGGCCTCGTAGACATCCAAGACTGGGGTTTTCAATCTGGACGTATCCCTCGACCTACTTCTTCCAAGTCTTCACCCGGAAAGAAGGCCCTGGCGCTTATGAATGAACAGAAGAAGAGCGCACATGAGCAAGTTACCAATGTGCTGGCGATTGAAGCGCTTGGTGTCAGCGACAACGAGGTGTTTGCGAGAGCTTGGTGCGCACACCACGGACACAGCGCGATCGTGGCAAATATCAAAGAGACCTGTATGGCATGTGCAATTAGGGAGGCGTACGCAGCATGTGTTTCGGTGGTTATTCTCACCGAGGGCGGTATTGTCAAGGAAAACGATACTGACACGGGCATACTTGATGACTATTAGGGTAGGAGAAGATGTGATTTGATGGATTCAAGGGGTATTGACCGTTTTGGGATTCGGTGTTATGACATACGTTTAGAAACTCATTTGGGTGGGTGGATTGCTTAGATGCAACCCCCACGATAGGGCATTTACATTTCCTTTGTCTTACGTCTGGGACAGAGACGTGTAATGCCGAGGCGGAAATGATGAACATGACTGACGCTGGGTATGGGAATTATGATAGTAACGATATTCATGGATGGAATTGGGAGTAAACGGTTACGACAATGTAGTCATGTTTAGTGAATGTACGCGTTTGCTCTGCGACGAGATTTAACGTTGATGTCGGCGTTCCACCGTCTGGACTGCAGCGGAAAGGCTCGTGAATTTCAATCAACATCCAAAGAAACACGTCTTTAAGCCTACTCGGCGAATTATCAATATGGCCAGATGATGTGCAAGAAGCGCAGGGGGGATGGCACAGTCACGTGCTGATAAGACGTATCGCTGCTCTGACGTTTACGCGGACCCGACTACGGCGCGGCTATATATCAAACTTCACTGACTGCCACGCACGACCACGCCACGCAAAGAAGCTCGATCAACTTGGCAGACGTATCGCGCCACACAGGTACCACTCGAATCGCACCGCATAAATGTCGTACAGGCGATGATCCCGCCTTCTCTGTTCCGCCTTTTCTCCGCAGTACCCCGATCTGGAAGTTGCGCCTTCTCATTGAGGCGTTCATTACTACCTTTTCTGCCGTTGACACAGGCCTGTGTGCAGTGACCACTGAATCTCCTCGCATGGGACTGCACGACGATTGTTAATCTGCGCCCGCCGGTTGTAGCACCCTCCCCTCACCAATTACCCGCTCGCTTTTCCGTCTACGCCATGGGCGGCTCAACGATTCCGTCCGCGCTCAGCGAACTCTCCAACCCCAGCACACCCGAGGCACAGGTTTCCGCGCTACAGCACCTCAAGAACGAGATTGTTGGACACGAGCAGAGGAAAGAGTTGGCAGTCACGCATGGCGTTGTGAAACCACTGGCTGGCCTGCTGCGGGCCGAGGCCAGAAAGGGCGGGAAGAGAAGAAGGAATGTCACAAACGGAAGCGGCTCTGGCCTGTTCGGCGAGACTTCAGCTGGGTTGGACGACTGGACAACCGAAGACGAATTGAGGTTCCAAGCCACACTTGTCGCTGGCAGTCTCGCGAATGGTGAGCACGCAACGCAAAAGATGCTCAATGGACACATTGGCTGATGTATCAAACGTGTAGGCGGACCAGCGTTTGTCGCGCCGCTGCTGGCAGGAGATGTACTACCTCCTTTACTCGAGGCGCTGCGCCCAAGCGAAACGCCATCTAAACTCGTCACGGCGACACTGAAAACGCTCAACCAGATTGTCGATGCGGTGGGCCAAGAAAAGCCTTGGCTTGATATGGCAGACTCGACCAGATCATCTCTCGCCTCGGCTGTCAATGATGTGATATACACTAGGCCGGCTGTAGAAAGTCTGGCTGAGATCCTGGCGCAACCGGGGGGTACTTTGAAGGCCAACCAGCAGATCGAATCGGCGATACGGCTGATCATGAAGACTTGCCAAGAAGAGCCCCAGAAGAGGATACTGGTCGATGCGGGCATCCTGGATTTGCTGGCTGACAAGCTTGCTGCTGTTGCGGTCATGGACGATCGCATCCCTGCATCGGAGATGAGGCAGCCGAGTCGCGAGCAGCTTCCTCGCGCCTGTCTATCAGACATTCTAGAAGCCATCTCAGCCATTATCAAGGACTCGCATTTCTACACAGCGCGATTCCTCTACTCGCAGTCGGTACAACGGCTCTTTGGCTGGCCAAAGGAACGCCCAACAGGCCTCGATGGAAGTAGCACTTCGCAAGCACCATCGTGGGACAAGTTGATACCGCGAGTGCAGACAATGGCCAGCAAATCAGATCCATACATCAAGCAATGGCCAGCTCTTGGTGCCTACTCCTCGGCAGCTGGAGATGGCTACTCTCGGCTTCCAAGCATGGAGTCGTTGCAACATACCTCAAGTAGGAGCGTCATTTCGGATGAATCTGAGACTCCACTGTTCATCTGGCTCATGTACGTGGCGAGGCGGGGCGAATCTAGAGAGCGTTTGTCCGCTTGTTGGTTGTTGGCGCTGCTCAAGAAGTTTGGTGAGCGGTGGCCGCTGAATGATCCGTCAAAGGCGACGCGCGAGAGGCACTTTTCGTATTTGATCATCCCGCTAGTCGAGAAGATGATTGAGGATTCCAGCCCGACGTCAGAGCAAGCGAAGAAGGCTAGTACCATGAGCCAGGCGGCCAGAGATGAGCTGCGCTTTGTGCTAGAGCGCTCGCCGCTTGTCCTTGCCGAGCTCGTTACCGGAAACAAGTCACTTCAGGCGGCCGCTGTTCATACTCGGACCCTGCCCACGCTCATACAGATTTTGAAAAAGTCGTTTGACATACCGACGACGGCGTCAAAACCCCTCTGGCAACCCAAACCAACTTCTCACGAGGTCAAAGATGCAAACATTGACCCTGCATCGTCAACATTGGGCAGAGCTGGGCTTAGCCCCGACGTCTTGCATGCGTTCAGATACCGCGAAAGCGTCCTCCTGGCATTGGCAGCAATGGCAGGTGACCAAGATTCTCTGAGGAAGATGGTGATTGAGATGGGCGCAGCTGCGCACATCATAGAAGCCCTAGTCCCATACAACGAGAACAGTGAACAGGGGGCATCGTCACCTAAGGATGGCAATCCCGATGCTGTTCTTATTGCTGCATGTAAGGTCACACGATCGTTGTCAAGATCGGTCAGCGTCCTCAGAACCAGTCTGATTGACCATGGTGTCGCGCAGCCCATCTTTGAGCTTTTGACACATCCAAACGTCAAGGTGCAGATTGCGGCTACAGAAGTCATTACCAACCTGGTGTTGGATGTGTCACCTATGCGAACTGTGAGTGAGGTTCTGCAGCACTTGCGTCAAAGCTAACAAGAACAGGAGATTCTTGAATCCGGAGTCTTGGGCACGCTCTGCGAACAATGTCGGTCGGCCAACTTTGACCTTCGTTTTGGTAGCCTCTGGGCGTTGAAGCACCTGTGCCTTGGATTACCTCATGCCATGAAGATGCAGTGTCTAGAGGAACTTGGAGTAGGCTGGCTAGTGCAAGTCCTGAACGGAGAGCCATCCAAGCCTGCCATGAGCACACCAAATGCAGCGGGAGAGCAAGTCGATATCCTCAATGCGGTCGATGAGCCGCACATGGATGTGGACGACGAACCGCCTTCGGACGAGGATGATGATGAGATGACGGAGAGCATACCATCGATGCGGCGGCATCAGCGTCATGGCTCTCGATACACAAGCGCAACCAACATTCGAGACAGACTACAGCAAATCAAAAACGATGAGCAGGATGTCCGATTGAACGGGGAGCGCGACGACATTCGTATACAAGAGCAAGCCCTCGACTTTATCCGCAACTTTGTGTCAGAGGACAAGGCATCTGGCGAGATGATTGACCACTTGCTCAAGACGTTTGGCCACAGCCGATTCTTTGAGATTCTCGATGCCAAAATCCGGCCAAAGCACTCTTCGTCAGCATCCTCATCACAGACACACACCAGCTCCGGCTCACCCAACTACTGGCCAGCCAGCAGCCACCGTACGCCCCTGGTCTCGTCTACGAACCAGCTCGGCCAGCCGAACTGGGCGGCATACCCTGCTTCGGAGCTGATCCTAGCCACCATCTATATCCTGATCCACCTCGCCAACGGCCGCCCTCAACACCGCTCTCTTCTCATCTCACAAACCACACTGATGCAGCACGTGCTCCCGCTCTTTACACACCCCCGGCGCGACATCCGCGTAGCATGCGCATGGATGCTGCACAATCTCGTGTGGGTCGAGGACCACACAGACGAAGCGGCAACGCGCGAACGCGCCAGCAGCCTCCGCCAGCTGGGCTTCGAAGAAGGCGCCAAGCAGCTGAGCCGCGACATGGACCTCGACGTCAAGCAGCGAGCTGTAGTCAGCGTGGAGCAATTCGACAAGCTACTAAACGGAGGTAGCAGCAGTCATGCCCGCAGTGGGTTCGCCAGCCCCAGTGGATTTGGCCCTAGTTCTGGTGGTGGTGGTGGCGGAGGCGGCGGTGGCGGAGGCGGAGAGGGAAGTGGTGGGTTGGGTGGCATGAGCAGTAGATTGAGCGGACTTCATGGCTGGAGACATGATTCCAGGGGTTGACAAGCATGGCTTTAGTTTGCATGCATGTAATGTGGTATTGTTTTTTTTTTGCGCATGACTTGGACGCAAAATAGAATTAAGTAGTACTAAGTAGTACTAGTAGTGGGTTATTATTGTTCTTCCTACTTGTCTTCTTGGCAGTTGAAGCATGGAGCGTGGACTTTTTTTTTATTGATTGATTGATTGATTGATTGATTGATTGATTGACTACTCAAGAGTGCAGCAGGCTACACGTTGTTATTGGTTTTTTTTTTCCTCCATGTTCCAACATGTTCAAGTCATCATCACATGATCAGACATATCACACACACACTTTTTTTTCTTTGTCTTATAGCTCAGGACGAAATTTTCGAAACCAGATAGGCAAAAGCTTGATTATTCTATTGCTACTGACGATGCTGATTCTTTTTTTTTTTTTAAAAAAAAAATAGAGGATACGAGAAAGTCTTTATACAGTATATACAAGCTCTCTCTCTCTCTCTCTCTCTCTCAGAAAAATATTCTTTCGATATATCATCTACACCCACTCCTTAGGCTTCTTGAGGACCTCGAGCAAGCGCTCCTCCCTGCTACCCTTTTCGGGCGCATGCATGTACTGCCAGCGAGCTGTAAGCGGCAAGCTCATGAGGATGCTTTCGACTCTGGAGCCGGGGGTATTCAAGCCGAATGCGGTGCCGCGATCATGGACGAGATTGAATTCGACGTAGCGGCCACGGCGAATCTGCTGCCACTGCTTCATTTCGGGGGTGAAAGGCATGTCTTTTCTGCGGTTGATGATGGGCAGGTATGAGGGGAGGAAGGCGGAAAGGCAGTCCTGGATAAAGCAGAAGAGCTGTTCTTGGTCTTTTTCCGTCTCATCGAGGTCGTCGAAGAAGATGCCGCCTACGCCGCGGGTTTCGCCGCGGTGCTTGTTGTTGAAGTAGTCGTCGCACCATTTCTTGAAGCGCGGGTAGTAGGCTTTGTCGTGCTTGTCGCAGGCTTGCTTGATGGCGCCGTGGAAGAGGATGGCGTCTTCGTCGTAGAGGTAGCATGGCGTCAGGTCGCAGCCGCCGCCGTACCACCATGCGTTTGTGTTTCCGAATTCGTCGGCCGTCTCGAAGTAGCGGTAGTTGAGGTGGACCGTGGGCGCGTTGGGGTTGTGGGGGTGGAGAACCATGGAGAGGCCTGCGGCGAAGAAGGCGAGCGAGTCGACGTCCGGGTCGAGGGCTTTGTGGTTTACGCGCATCTTTTGGATGGCGGCGCGGGGGAGGCGGCCGTAGACGACAGACGTGTTGACGCCGCCCTTTTCAAACACGTTGCCGTCTTGCAGGACGCAGGTGATGCCGCCGCCGCCCTCGGGCCGCTGCCATGCGTCAATTTTGAATTTTGTGCCGTCGACTTTTTCGAGCTCGGCGATAATCTGCTTCTGGTGTTGCTTTATGAATTGCTCCATGCGGAGGCGCATGGGCGATTGCTCGGATACGCCATTTTCGCGCTTGAGGAGGGCGTCTTTCTCGGCAATGGTAGGGCCTTCGGTCTTGATTGAGTCGTCTGTCCACTGTGGAGTGTCAGCATGGGCTTTCTGCGTTGATGAACAGGCTCTGGCGTACCATGGAATATACCAGCGCTCCAATGAATGGCACAAAGAGCAGCCGTATCCTGTTTGGCCACTTGCTGGGCTCGGGATTACGCCATTCTTCAAGAGGATCTGGCTTCTCCGGTCTCTGGCTCTGGGGAATATCTGCACGGCGGCTCGGAGACGAATGCAGCTGCCTATTGCCAATCCGACTTGAGCAGAGCGTGCGTTGCGGTGCATGGCTGTGGGCGAGGCCGAGGGCCCGCGGGACACGGAACGCAGCTCGGAATGGAGGCATGGCGGTGGACGACGGTATCAGGCAGAGAAGGCCTGCAATTGGACCATGCAGGAGAAGACGGGGAGGCGAATTGGTTTATACGACAATGCGAGGACGGTGGGATAGGGCGCTTACTTGTCGTGTATCACACCACGGTGGGCGCATCTTCGGCGAAGCTCGTCGGTACTAGCGGTAATATCGGACCCGGTACCTGCATGATGCAAACGGAGCAAACACGTCTGGAGGCGGCGCGGCTGCGACGACACAACGGAGACAGGCCGGCTGAGGCGTCTGTCGGACGTGCGTGCGCACTGCTGCCGTGTTGCGCTCTGGCGACTGGTGCGATGCTTGGCATGGCGCACTGTATGTCGCCTTTGGTGGTGGAGAGGGCTTATCGATTGCAGGCAACGAATGCAAACGGACAATGTACGGGTATGACGTGCGCGGATACGTGTGCGTGTGCGTGGAAAGAAGCACTCCCTAGCGGCTGCTGACGCTCACTGCCTGAACGGAGGCCACGTCGCGGGCGTGTTGGTGGACGAGGCATGGCCATGGCTGCCAGCGCGACGGCAAACGCGTCGACACGACGGCGGCAGCATCCATGGCCCGTCCATGCAGCGCAGGCCGCAGTTCATGCCGCGGCGATGAGTCAAGACGAGGCTCGTCTTGGGGGGGGCGCTCTGAGTGCGAGTACCCAGGTACCCCCAGGTCATGGGAGCTGAGCAAGTGACTCTGGGCTGGGCGAGGCGGTCAGCAGCGCCATGGCGGCGAGTCACAGCCAGGCCTTTTGCAACAGAGGGCCGCCGTTCCATGGCGCAAAGGGGGCGTTGCTGCTGGTTGTTCCGGAGGCGCTGGCACTGGCACTGGCGAGCACTGGACTGGCGGGCAGAGTGCTGGTCGTCTGGTGCGTGGCCAAGTGACCCCCCGTGGCGGGTGGCGGGTTAGGTAAGTAAGGCTGGAGTGGTGATTCGCAGGTAGAAGCCCCGCTCTGCTGCCTGTGCTTAAGGCTCCCACACCGCACCTACGCCCTCCGTCCTACTTCCTCCTCCTCCTCCTCCTCCGCCTCCGCCACCACACACCATCTGACCGCTCTCACCACTCGACGCCTGCGCGCTCCTCTGCATATAGCCTCCCGCTCCCGCACGCACAGCACACGCACACACAGACTAGCCTCCAAGATGCGTTCCAAGTTCAAGGACGAGCACCCGTTCGAGAAGCGCAAGGCCGAGGCCGAGCGCATTCGCCAGAAGTACAACGACCGCATTCCCGTACGTGCCCGCCGCCGCCTCTGCCCACCCGCCCCATCGTGCCACGGCTGCTAACAGGGCGCAGGTTATCTGCGAGAAGGTCGAGAAGTCTGACATCGCCACCATCGACAAGAAGAAGTACCTGGTGCCCGCTGACCTGACGGTCGGCCAGTTTGTCTATGTCATCCGCAAGAGGATTAAGCTTTCTCCCGAAAAGGCCATCTTCATCTTCGTCGATGAGGTGCTGCCGCCCACGGCCGCTCTCATGAGCTCGATATACGAGGAGCACAAGGACGAGGACGGCTTCCTGTACATCACGTAGGTTCCCTGATTTTACACTTGGCCAGGCCAGCCGCTAACACGACTGCAGCTACTCGGGCGAGAACACGTTTGGCGAGGCCATGTAGACGGATTTGCTCCACCCCCGCTTCCCCTTATCTATCGGCTCTCAGGGCCGCGGCGAACTCGGGCGTTATCGGATTATGGGTTTCTTTGATGTTCATTGCAACAGTATACCGCGCGAGGATAAGTGCTTGGTGTTGAAGACAGACGGCTGGTGCAGCGGCATCCCCCCCCCCCCCAGCGCCCTGGGCCCGGCAACTATGATTGGAATTTGGGGGGGGATGAAACAAGTCAGACCAGGTGGACAGGCACGAGAATAGCTTGGGTCTCTACAGGCGGCCTCTCTATTCTCGAGGGTCGTTGTTGGGCAAGGTTGGCTTCATTCTTCTTGTCCTGACATGCCCCTGTAATTTGCTTTTTCCGCTCTAGTCCGAATACCAGACCTGATGTGACCTCACTGTCTGCACTGCTCCGTCATGAATGTGAATGTGCCTACCCGTGACTGTCCGTACCTGACGCAGCCGCGTGACTGCGCCTCACCTCACCAGGCCCCGTCTCTGGAACCCCCAATGACGACATTGCCCACCTGATAGCACTGCCGCATGAACAACCCCCACCATCATCCAGGTGCCTTTGATCGCCCGCGACAGCATGCGCACCAGAAGCATCGTGCAATGCCACGAGGCTTTTGTATGCAGCCTAGCTTTCCCTCCCCCCCCCCAGACCAGCCGACCTGCGTCGACAAAAGTCCCCCCCCCCTTCTTCCCTAGGCTGGCCGGGAAACGTGGGGAAAGGCTCCAGACGGGCGGCAGGCACGGGCCACGACAAGATGCAGGTGCAGTGGATCTTGCAGCCCGCGACAAGTTTATCGGCACTGCAAACTTGCAACCACAACCACAACCACAACCACAAACAACAAATAACAACAAATCACAACGTGTGCCCACACAAGGCCTTGTTGAATCCTGGTGCCGCTTGGATTTTTTTTACCTGGAAATATAGCATCGTTAAAATATATTTCAATCAGTAGTACACGCAGTCCCCCCCCCCTTCTCTTCCTCCGCTCCACACGTACGAGGGGACAATTATGGCACCACAGTATATTATTTCAAAGTATGACGTTTTCTCTTTCCTCTCTTCTCTTTCCTTTTATTCTTTTTTCTCTTTTTTTTTCTTTCGGGAGATGTTTGAGTCTGCCCTCCTACTCCTCCTCTTCAACCTCTGCCACCAAGTTCTTTACAACAACACACCGCTCACTTTTATACTAGGCGGCTCGATCCCCTGTTCGCCATTTCCATCGGGCTCGCGGCAGCAGCGACACGCATTAACCGTGAGGAAAAGGAAAAGGGCCGCTCGACGCAGCAGAGTCTAGAGGTGCTGAGGAGGAGGTGCGGTTTGGCGTGGCAGAGTGGTGGGGAGGCGAGGAAGGCGTAGATAATACTGCTGGTGGTGGTGCTGGGGGAAGTCAGGGAAGACGTTTTGATGTAACGCCAGCGTTTGCGTCAAGCAGTAGCTTGAACACTTGCTCGTGGCCTGTTCTTATAGCTACCTTGAGCGCATTCCTGTTGTAGTAGCTTGACCACATCTTTCAGGCCTAACAATGCTGCATAGTAAATCGGATCATATATCTGATCTAGTCTCCTTTGCAAGCATGGGTCATCCTCAGGCTCCTCAGGACCCCACAACCGAATCCAGTTGACGTACAAATAGCTGTTCCTGGAGCATAGGCGAGCTGCTAGTTGGCCTATATCTTCTGTTCGTTCACCTGTCTTTCGAGCGTGGCTACTCCAGTACTCTGCCGAGTAACGTGCGAGCCTGAATTCTTCGAGGAAGGCTGCGTGTAGCTCTGGTTGCTCCAACTGGAGAAGGTAGCCAAGGCAGCTTCTTGCCATAGCATAATGGCAGGCATCATCTCGCATGCCGTACTTTGCTGCTTCTCCTGTCAAGATTCTGTCTGACATGAGGTATTCTTTGACTGAGTAATGTGCTAACGCAACGATTTGTTGTGATACATCTTCAAGCTCACAGTCGCTGTCTTGTTCATAGTCGCTGTCTTGTTCAGAGTCGCTGTCCTGCTCATATTTTTATTCGTTGTTGACCGTAATAGTAACAAGACTAGAGCAGATATGCAATGCCTCTAGTGGATCCTCAAGAACTTCATCACGGTCAAATACAGGATCTCGCTTCGTGTCAATGGCGACAACTTCAGCGATGTCGTTGATTGAGAGTGGCCGTGCGGAGAATGTTAACCACCGTAAGATGCGAATAGCGTACTCCGAATCAGCTTCGCTTATCGCGGAAAGAATGCGTTCGTATGTCTGGTCTAGCGTTGGTGGCAGTGTAGCAAGAGTCTTGCGGAGTGTTGCGCGATTGCGACACTTTGCTAAACTATCAACCTGGCATGCAGCCCATCGAAACCTGTTAGATGCATTAAAATTAGATTCTATTAAACCTGAACGAAAAACTTACATGCCCTTGGCCCCATCTTTTAGTACAGCCTCAATCTCCTGTCTAACATCATCCTTTCTCCATTTTTGAAGGAGTTTGTCTGTGGCTAGCCTGTCTTGGACATATCGTTGTATGTCTTTGTCTACTAGCGCGCTTTGGAGACAGATTCTACTCTGGTCGTTTACAATATCTTCTAGGGTGCTCTCAATGTCTGGCTCCCTTCGGCTCGTTACAAGGAGGTGCAAGTTCTGAAGGCTCCGTCCGGCTATTATCTCGAGTGTTCCGCTTCAGCTGAACGTTTTGCTCTCTCCCTTTAATCCCTACTTTTATCCAATGGCTGATCCCCTCAGCATTGCTGCAAGTGTGGTTGGCGTCACAGTTCCAGCGTTGCAAGGTATCCGACTTCTTCTCAACGATCTACAGAGCCTCAGAGACGCACCCAAAACCGTGAAGCGTCTGACAGAAGACGTCACCTCTGTTGAAACAGCACTCACTTTGCTCCAAAACTTGGATGAGAGAGAATAGACATCACTTGGTCCAAACGTAGCTGAGGAGTCAAAGAATACGATCAGCAGCTGCACGCAAGCATGCGACCTCTTCAGAACCGACTTGCATCGGTGGACTAGACATTCCGACGATCGAAAACTAGTATGGCAGGATCGAGCAAATGTGGGATTCTTCAAACAGGGACAGATGAAGGCTATGTCCGAGCAGCTCCAAGACTGCAAACGCTCAATCAACGGCAACGTCAGCATAGCGACCTTGTCAGTAACTCTGATCTAAATGGCTCAGTGCGGAAATCGAGCTGACCTTACCTTACAGATACGGCTCGGTCCGCAATTGCCACATCACGGAAGAAATCAAGAAAATGATATCTACAAATCAGGATGAGGTCAAGGGTGCTATTAATACAGCGGATAAGCAGCTGATAGTGGTGGATAACAAGCTGGAGGAGATGAATGTCAGCAGCGATGAGGAGGAAGTGGCTGGAGAAAAGGAGGACAAAGCTGGTGCATTGAGGCAACTGGAAGAAGAACGTAAAGCGCTAGATGCATCACGGAAACTGCTGGATGAGCTGCTATCCAAGGCACAGGAAGAAGCTGTTGCGAAAGCCGCAGGGCCCCAGAGTCATTCACCAAGTATTTCATTCGGCAATCAGAACTCGGGGTTTCAAGCTGGAATGATCAATGGCAGTGTCAGTGGGATTAGTTTCGGAGGAAAGTAATCAACATCAACAGACTCAAGGCTCGATTTAACGTTATCGGGTTCAAATTAATTCTATCAAGTACTGTGATAGCTCGAGTACATCTTCGTTACCAGATCCCTCCATGACACATCCATAGTTTTCGCTGGCTCGGTTTCTATCGGTGCCACCGCATTGCACCTAGGCACTGATGGACCCCTAGTCAACTATGAAACTCTACAGTGATTTCACAAAAGATAATAATTTTAGGACGCTCAGTTGATTTTAGCTTGGGGGATCTTTTCGACTGACAGTCATGGACGTTATACCTAACTTTGGGAAGAGGTTGGGTAGGGAGTAGCCCGAGCTTGGATAGGGGTAGGGTTGCCAAGACCTGGGTAGGGATATCAGGATATCATCACGTGATACCCTTACCCTACCCCTACCCTACCCCTACCTATTTACCACCATGCACATGCCTATAGCTTTGTAGAAGCCTCTACAGCCACATACTCAGTCCTAAACAAACTTGCCCTTGAAGTATCGCCTGCCCTATCTATCGCCTAAGATTAGGGGTTCGGCTTCACCGGCAACATGGTAATATCTAGCCCTGTCGTCGATGACGTCGCTGAAAGTTTCTAGACTCTATCAGTACTAGCATACCAAGCATTTGTGCTACTAGTTAGAGCGCAGTGTCTTGTATAGTGGCGAGGGTCTAGAAGGAAAAGCGTCACGCTACACCATGCGTCCCGGCACGTATACATGTCAGTAAGAATGGACACTTGACTGCTCAGATTTGCGAGAACTCTTAAATAGCATAAACGAAAAATTTAAATATGTACATGGTCGAATCCATAACATGCTAGCATTTGTCTCCTGCACAGTACCTTGCGTTCTCCGGCCCACAGCAGGCGGTTCCCCCACGGCACTGCAGAAGCACTTAGTAGTGAGGCGGTGTAGTTTGCTCGTAGGATACATACGATAAGGTTACCACACACAATGTCAGCAGCGACCACCTGCTGGGCGAACATGGTAGCTAGCGCCGCAATGATAAGTGTCTTGATATTCGCCATTGTTTCTGCTACTATGGTTAGAAGCAGACCTCACATTACTAGGAAAGATAGATACTAACAATTAAGAGGGTAAATTACAGAATGTATACTTTGCGTGCTGATAGGGATAGGCAGTGGTAGAGGTCCAGAAAAAAAGTAATGCGTTGTTTGCAGCATTTTATAGACAAAAGGTCATTCTATTCCGTAGGCCCACTACTTTACTTAGCCAAGTCGACTTTTTAATTAAACGCCAAACACTAGCTACATGCAGTAACAAGATGTTGATTATCTTGAGCAATGTGGGTTTGCAGCACAGACACGGGTAGAACATCATTTCTGAGCTAGTATCACATTGCCATGCTACTTTTATGATTTTATATACTCTACTACGTACCTTGTAAGCGCCGCTGCGTCATTCCGTTCAGGATTCCCTGCAAAAAGAAACAAATATCGCCATGCTAACGTGGCTTCTACAGGTCTCAAGACAAAAAGTGTTGTTACTTTCGGCGCTACTCCCCCCCTGTCAAGCTGGCGCTACTTCGGATAAACCTATACCATGTATGTATGAATTAGCGATTCTCTTCTTTGACCGCGATTCAAAGGTGGATATTAGTTACATATTAAGGATATTGCTGTGGGGAGGCGCCTTTTCACCTCCATCTGCATGGGGGGGGGGTGCTTGGTGGATACACTGACTCATGTATCCGCTATCTGATAGGCGTTTCTGCGCCTAGTGTGGCTCTCCAGATCTAGTGTGTGATCAATCTCCAGTGCAAGTTATGTAGAGAAGTTGCTATATTGTTGTTGTTGTTGTTGTTGTTATGCATGTCACTATTTTTTCTCTGGTTTACACCATCTGACCAGTCCTGTGTAAGCACCATTCAGCTACCACAGATCATGCCCTGGTTACGCTAATACTACCACAACACATCGGCGCATTTTGATAAGCTCATAGCACCTATCAGGTCTGTTACTAAAACTCCAGCTCCCTGGTAGAAAAGTGCGCAATCCATTGCGTGGCTCTTGGCAGCCAGAGCCTGGACATCCCTGAACGCTAAGCCTACTGCACACAAAAACTACTGTATAGTACTAGACGAAGAAGCTTGTAGTTAGCGTGCCCCTTATCTCGCCGCATATTTTTATACAGGGTTAGGCTAGCCTCGCCTTGTTCCAACACCCGTACGGTAAATACAAGAAACAATGCCATAACGTAATAACGAAAAGGAGACCTTTATCCTAGTCCACAGAGAGAAAAAAAACAATCCAACATTCGTCTACTGAGACTCGCTCAGTTAAGCAAAATCCCGCTTGCAACGCAACAGGAAAGAATAAGAGGAGTCGATCTGTATGCTGGACGATCAAACATGGTCTTGCAAACAAATCACCTGGGCGATTGCAACTCCACCTCGGAATTACACCGGCTTCTGCTCTGGATTCCCTTGGCCATCTCCCTCCGGTGCATGGCCACTACAATCGCCTCGCCCTCTTTAATCGTCCGCTGGTTCGCCGACTGCCTGACCCCCCGCGACATGGTCTCTATCTTAGGCTCATGCGGAATCATCTCGTACCAAAGCACCACGACATTGGGTTTCTGGATACCGGTACCAACGGGATTCTCGGTCAGTGCATTTGGCTTCTCGGGGGTTCCACGCCAATCGATCACTTGGTCGTCGTCGATGAAGAACTGAGTCGCTGCCGTGGCGCTCCTCCGGCCTGGGCCCCGTGGCTGCGTTACACCCGCCGTGTAGTGCCCTGCATCTATGCCGTTGCTCTGGTGGTACGTTGCACAGTGCAGTTTGTACTCGACTGGCGTGCCGTCTTGATGCGTCATGTAATCTGTAAGCGACAAGACGTCATCTACCACGATGCCATTCCCCGACGTGCCGGACACACCCAGGGGTTCGCCAATAGCCTCTAGCATCTCGTTTCCGGATTCATCCAGCACGGGCTGCGCGTGTTCCAGACGCACCGACACGCGCAGGTACTCGGGCGTAGCGTCCAGCGTGAAATGCACAGCGTGGGTCCGGGGCACAGAGCACTGCGAACACATGGTCCCCGACGAAACATAGCGAAGCATTCTCGCAATGGCCGCCGACACGGTTTCCCCGCCTTCCTCCAACGGCGTGATGGTCATGCCGATGCTCTCGTCGCTATCTTCGACTCGGCTGTGCAGACACGCGGTACACGTGTGGCGCGTTGTGCGCGTCAGTCTGAAGAGCGCGTTGAACTGGTTTTGACGTAATTGGCCATCTTGCGTTCTTGATATCCTTACCAGCTCCAACTACACATAGACACACGGCTATCACAAAAAAAAGGAGGGGAAGAAGGGATAATCCACTTACTCAGTATCAAAAGTAGCTTCAATGCCCTGCCATATCCGTGCCATCAGCACCTCGACGTCCTTCGGCGCCGTCATATGTGTCCTGCGAGCCGAGCGCGTAAATTCGTCGAAATCCGCCTCAGACATGGGCGGCGTCATGTTGCGCAAGTGAGCCATTCCCTCCGCATGGCCCGGGGGGTCACGGCAGAAATAGCGCTGCAGCAACTGATGCAGCTGGAACACCAAGTCAAGTGTATACGGCAACGGGCGCGGCTCAAACGGCGACACAGCACTCACAAACTTGTTACCCCAGTAGTCTCTTGCAAACGCCTTGAGCAGACACACCAGACACCCGCTGTAAGTAGTACGCCACACTATGTCTTTTTCCACATCCGCATCCTGGATAATACCGCCCATGCTCGTGCCGTCGTCTCTTCCTAGTCTGCGCTGTCGCGGCGTAAAGCGCCTTGTAAACCCTCATCCGTGAGAATGCTCTGCGTCATGGCATCCAGGCTCGCGAGACTGTGATCTGGGTTCCGCTCGTTACACGGCCAGATGCCCCGCCCGGACCGGTGCTGCCGCAGCCAGTTTACGAAAAGCGCGGCAGGTGCAGCAGTGCTTGCAACGTGCTGTTGCGGTGGCTGGTATGCCTGGGGCTTGAGAGGCCTCGCGCGCGTCGGCTGGCGCGCTGGAGGATGGTCCATTTTCGCCTTATACGCTGCGCGTGTGTCAGAGACGGGCGAGAACAAGGGATGTTTCCTCTCTTTTTTTGTACTGCATTCTTGGTGCGGACACATTCGTTGTGCTCATTGTGCAAAATGCGAGATGAAAGAATGTGTGTCTTACTTTGTTTGTTCGGTCGCATGGTTGGATGTGGTATGTATGTATGTATGTGTGAGCATGTTATTTCGACATGAAGATGTGGATGAGAGAAATTGAGCTTTGTACCTGGGAAGAAGGTCATCCGAAGGGGTGGTTGGAGAGATATGGCGTTGATTGTGCCGAGGAGGGTGTCGAGGAGGGTGTCGATGTTGTTGTGGCAGTGGCGTTTTCTCAAAGCACGACAAAGAAAGGATGCCGTTTTCTTCTTTACACATGGGGCCCGAGAATAGGTCTAAGAGTACATCTTCGTTGATGTTATAGACTCTGAACTCGAGGAGACAGCAATTCTTTCACTAAAGAAGAAAATGTGTTATATTATCTCGCAGCGGTACCTTCAGCTTCATCAAAAGCTCAAGTCTGCTGACCGTTTCTTTGTTACCGGCATCTCGGAACATCTACTGATCAGGATTATAGTACTTCCTCCAATTATGTTGCTCTCTGAAACCCAGCACCTCTTTAATCTTGCGATTACTCAATGGCGCCTCCCACTCGCCCATGTCGCGCGTGATTGGCGTGTTGGGCGCATACTGCTCTAGAAACTGCCTTGTGGGAAACGTCGCGGTGATGGTATCATTGGTGGCATTGAAGACCTGGAAGCCCAAGCCATCCTTTTGCACGCACAAATCGCAGATCTGGCCGAGATCCCGCGCGTCAATGTAGGCCCAGGCGTTGCGCTTGCGCACCTCGGGGTGCTGGATGTAGTAGGGAAAGTCGCGCGCGTACTCGTGCGGCTCAATCACGTTGCCGATGCGCAAAGCGTAAATGTCGGCGTCGAAGCGGCGGGCGAAACCCCGGACTACGCGCTCGCCGCATAGCTTGGATATGGCATATGTATCCATGGGGTTGACGTCGGCGTCTTCGAGAAGCGGAAAGGCAGTGTAGTCGAGGTTGCCCTGGCCGAAACACACTTCATATGTGGTTTCGCTGCTGGCGATGATGATTTTGCGGACGCCGAGCTTGCATGCGGCTTCGATGACATTGTAGGTGGATTGCACGTTTCCTGCGTAGCATTCGTTGTCTGGCACCAGCATGTTGCGTGCGTAGGCTGCAAAGTGGATGACGGCGTCTGGGGGACCAGGCACGTGGGGACCCTCGTAGCCGGCAAAGTTGAAGTGCGTGGTGAGCGCATTGAAGACCTGGCCGCTGTCTTTGAGGTCGGTTTTGAGCGTAAATATGCCTGCTTCTGGGTCCGGGAAGTCGGTGAGATCCAGGTTGAGGACCGAGTAGCCCTTTTGGATCAGGTACGGGAGAACATGGCGCCCAGCCTTGCCTGAGCCGCCAGTAAAGACGATGCGCTTCCCTGATGACATGGCGGTTGCAGCCCTTTAGAGAGGTCTTTTCGTCTGAAAGACGGCTGTTAGCAGGATCAATTGCTGGCTGCGGGGTTGCATCGGTACCCTTGTGAAGATGAGGCTTAACTAGGTCGTGTGCGGTGCCGCGGAGCGCTCAATCGAAGAGCAGCATGCGACAGGGCAGTCCATGTTTATAAGCGTCATGGCAATAGGCTGCCCGGCCACGAGCACGAGGGGTGCACGCAGTTGCATGTGGCGAGCATGGGAGGTGACAGCGGGACGTACGGTTTGGGCATGGCATGGTCGCTAACGCTACGTCACGATGCGGCATGGGTATGGGGGACGGGGGACGGGGGGACCCACCCGACTTCTTTTTCCCGTAGTCGTGGGAGTGGGAGCAGGTGGTACCATGGCCCAACTAGCGTCATGCCAGTGCCAGACACCGAATCCTCCGCAGCACCGTATTTGCCCCAACGACTTGCACATTTCTAGACGCTCTCAATTCGCAATCCCTACGGTACACATGGTGGCATCTCCCCCTCCACACACATGACCAGCGGTCTGATGCGGCGCTTCTGCTCGACGTTTGCCCGCACGCACCCTCAAGCCACGACGACTGCCGCATGGCTCGCTGCGCCCCGCCTGCTGGCGCTCAAGCAGTACAGGAGGACGCTGACCGATGCCGGCTGCACACAGGCTCCGGTGGCAAGGCACTGGTTCACGAGCTCGTCGCCATGCTCGCACCCCGGGCAGGATGAGTGCGAGAAGAAGCGCATCCACGAGCGCGACTTGAAGCTGGGAGACAGTAGGTTTGCGGCTCAGACTGGTGCAAATGGGCTGCTAACAAGTGCGTAGCCATCCGAGTCCTGCACGAACGCCTGCCGACGCTTTTGATATCACCGCTCCCCCAGGACATCCTCTCCCCGCACATTAGCCTGCACCTGTTTCCCTCGACCCACCCACATCTGCCGACGGTGAGCGGGCGGTTTTCGTACGTCGCAGCACTGTGGACGGCGCCGGTCGCATGGGGCCAGGTTCCCGTGGTGGGCAACGTGAAGCTCAGGATACTGTCTGAGCGCATGGTGAAGAATGGCGGGTGCTCGACAGCGAGCAACGTGCGCAACGAGAAGCTGATTGTGCGGTGGCAGACATGTGGCAAGTCGGACAGGAAGGAGAACGGGCAGGTCAGCGACGTGGTGGAGAAAATCACCAGCATCGTGGCGGGGTCCAAGCGACCACAGCAGGAATTCACGGGCCTGTTCAAGTTTGAGTTTGACGACGAGGGGCGCATTCTGAACCACATCATCGAGCACACCGAGGAGGGCCAGCACTGGGATCGGACGGCGACCATGATCAGCGTGACGGACTGGCTTCTGGGCCGCGCGTGGGGGCGGAGCGAGGGCAACCCCAGCCTGGCGTTTGTGAGGTGCAATGAGCGCGGCCATGGGCGCGGGCGTGGTGGTGACGAGCGGCGATGAAACGCCATCAGTCCATGCTGTCGACGCTGTCGGCTGCTGCCCACTGCTGCTGGTGCGCCCGCCCCTCGATACTGGTCCTCAGCGTCGCGGGAAAAATTTTCTACTCTCACCACTCCACACGTGTACAAGACATGTAATGCTAGCACCCAGTAATGACGTTGGTCGTGTACGGCCGCGAGCGCAATTGATACCCTATGACAGGCGCCCGTTGCGGCACCACAGTCATGTGCAGCGAGCCAAGTGGACGAGACGCATAAGAAGAGCGAGACAGGGGCCGGTGATTCGCAGTGCATGGTGCTGATGGATGCGTGTGGCTACCCAATGATGAGTTGGCGGGTGAGGGCGCGCATCGGCCACGGCACTAGGCATGGTAGCTTCCGCCTAGCGACCACGACGACGAGCTCTGGCGCATCTCACCCTGCCTTGCCAGAGCCAGAGCCCGCCAGCATATTGTCGCCGCCCGCCGCCGCCGCCGCCGCAGCAGCAACAGCAACAGCAGCAGCAACCGCATTGCATTGCATTGCCATCTACCGACATTCCCGCATCCAAGCCCGCACTCATCGCCCGCCCCTCTTCCGACGCTCCCCCCCGTCGTCTTGGAGCTGCTGCCGCGCCCGCCTGCCAGCCCCCCCGATTTCCCTTGCTCAGCCGCCCGTCGCCCGTTTCCCCGCGCCTATTCCACGGACAGCGCTGGGAGCCTACAGCCTCAACTACCCCCCAGGCTTCTGCCTACCTCCCCACCAAACGCCATTGCCTGACCGCACACAGCCATGGCCGACCTCTCGCAGAGTGGGGAATTGAGTATGTTGCCTGCGCATTCCTCGGCTGCTGTCCATGTCCAAGCTCGTGCTAATGCGCCGCAGACCAGCCCATCCTCAACCTGACGCCCGAGGAAAAGCGCGTCTTCCAGTATCTCTTCCAGCAGGCCGACACAGAGAAGCTGGGCGTCATAACAGGCGAGATTGCCGTCAAGTTCTTCGAGCGCACCAAGCTGGCCCCCGCCGTCCTAGGAGAGATATGGCAGATTGCAGACACGGAGAACCGCGGTCTCTTGACCATGGCCGGCTTTTGCCAGGTCCTGCGCCTTATTGGACACTACCAGGCTGGCCGAGATCCCACACCAGAGCTTGCCTTTAGACGTATGCCCTCTGCGACCTGTTCGTTGTGCATATGCGCTGACCGTCCATGTAGCCGCCCCCCTGCCCAAGTTTGAGGGCCTAACTCCCCCATCCGCTCCTCCCGCTGCCCCTGGCTTCTCCCCACAACCCACTGGTTCTCTGCAGCCTCAAGTTAGCGGCAGTGGCCCAATCCGCGTCCCGCCGCTAGTGCCCGGCAAGGCTGCTGAATATGCAGGCTTGTTCGAGAAGTCTGGCGCAGTCAACGGCATTCTTTCAGGTACGCTATTGTTTCATGTCCGAGGCAGACTGGGGTTGGCTAACAAAAAACCGCAGGCGAGAATGCAAAAGAGATATTTGAAAAGGCACGGTTACCAAATGAAGTCCTCGGCCGGATATGGAATCTTTCAGACACGGAGCAGCGTGGAGCGCTCAACGTTACCGAGTTCATCATCGCCATGCACCTGCTCGCCTCATACCGCACAGGAAACATGAAGGCGCTTCCAAACACGCTGCCTCCAGGCCTGTACGAAGCCGCTTCTCGACGCGGAGGACTGCCGCCCCCACCAGGACGCCCCGACCAGATGGCCATTCCACGTCAATTCAGTGGACAGCAAAATGCACCGCGACAACCAAGCCCGCTCGGACGACAGCCATATGGAGCACCTCCCCCGCCTGTGCAGCCTGCTGGCAGTGATTGGCTCATCAGCCCCCAAGAGAAGGCCTCATACGACAACTTGTTCAAGGGTGTTGATACCATGGGCCGCGGCTTCATTACTGGAGACCAGGCGGTGCGCTTCTTCAGCGACTCCGGCCTACCCGAAGACGTTCTCGCAGGAATATGGGACCTTGCAGACATCAATTCGGAAGGACAGCTATCCAAGGACGAGTTCGCGGTCGCCATGTACCTCATCCGGCAACAACGGAAAGGAGAGCCACTCCCCACCACTCTGCCACCGAATCTGATCCCACCAAGCCTGCGCACACCGGCCAACCAGGCTGCGCCCGTCACTTCACCGCAGCTGGCACCCCCAATGCCTCCTCCTGCCAAGTCTGCGACTGATGACCTGTTCGGACTGGACGCCTTTAGCGCACCGCCTCCCCCTCCCCAACAGTCACAGTCAACGGGTGGCTCTGCCACTTTCAGCAAGCCTTTTGAAAGCGATCCTTTTGGAAGCAAAGCAGCCTCGCCAACTTCGCCACATCATTTCCAGCCTCAACCGCGAAACCCGGCCTCCACTTTCAAACCCTTCATGCCTAGCTCTTCGTTTGGCCAGACTTTGACCGCACACTCGACAGGCCAGTCGGGAACCTCTGGCGCGCCGCAACACTCGACACTTTCCGTAATGGATGATCTGCTAGGAGAGGCTGATCCTGAAATCAACAAGAAGCTAACGCAGGATTCCACCGACCTGGCCAACATGTCGAACCAGATGACCACTCTGCGCAACCAGATGCAGGAGGTCCAAAACAAGAAGACTGCAACGGAAAGCGATCTTAACAGCGTCAACACTCAAAAGCGTGACCTCGAACTCCGTCTCTCGCAGTTCAAGACACAGTACGACCAAGAAGTCAAGGCAGTCAAGGCTCTCGAGGACCGTCTGGCCAGCTCCCGCAATGAGACTCAAAAGCTAAAGGTGGATCTTGCCATGATTGAGAGCTCTTACCAGGATCTCCAAACCCAGCACCGCCAAGTCGGAGGTCAACTCGAGGCTGATCAGCGCGAAAACAACAACCTGAAAGAGCGCATCCGTCAGCTCAATGCTGAGATTGCGCAGCTCCGCCCCCAGCTTGACAAGATGAGAAATGACGCCCGCCAACAAAAGGGCCTGGTGGCGATCAACAAGAAGCAGTTGGCTACCAACGAGGCCGAGCGCGATAAGCTTAAGAACGAGATGAACGAGTTGAGCAAGTCCCACGAGGAAATCTCCCGCGGCTCTCCAATCCAGACCCCCGGCGTCGTCAGCCCTGCTGTTTCCACTGCAAGCCAGAACACGAACCCCTTCTTCCGAAAATCCCCTCAGCCAGGTGCCGAAAACACCATGTCACCCTCTGGTTTTGCGCGTGACGGACCCCACAAGGACTTTGATAGTGTCTTTGGTTCATTTGGCACTCCGCAGAGCAGCGCACCGCCCGTTTCATTCCGTCCTGACAACTCGAGCCTAGGCCCTAGCTTTTCTGCTCCATCAGGCCAGTCGGTACGCTCCTCCGAGGGTCCAGATGTGCCTACGCCCTCCACTTCGCCGCCTCTCTCTTCGTACCAGGAGTCTCCACGAGTTGCAGACCCACCAGCTCCTCCTGAGTCACGTCAGTTTGGTTCCTCGTTCCTGCCACTGAGAGAAGGCCAACGGTCCGACTCGTTCAGTTCCTCTGTGCGAGGGGCCGCCCCTGCAAACCGATACGGTCCCCATGCCCCTGGAAATGAGACGCCCACTATCTCACATGCTTCGCCTGCTGGTACTCCAATCGCTGAGAAGCCTTCTGTGGAGCGCACCGACACCAACAGAACTGAGACTGATAACTTCAACCCGGCTCTATTCAGCCGCACATTTTCGGCTTCTCCTGTGACCAGCGTCACTAGTGAAACACAGCGCTCAACTACCAAGAATGATGACCGAAAGGACGCTTTCGCCAATTTTGGGGTTCCATCTGCTGGCGTAGCACAAGATGTTCCTGGAGCTTTCCCCCGGGAAGCCAACACACCACTGCAACAGAACCAAACCGGCGAGAGCAGTATGAGTGGGCCAAACAGGAACAACACCGACCCCTTCGGCACCTCTGGTGAGCAATCCCGAGGAGGCAAGGATGACTTTGATGCGGCTTTCGCTGGCTTTGGGCCTAGTCGTCAGACCGCTACTACCGCCTCCAACGCAAGCGCGCCCGCAGGAGATTCAAACAAGTTCAACAAGGAGTTTCCTCCGATTGAGGATCTTGCCCACGACGACGACAGTGACAGCAACGATGGACGAGGATTCGACGACAACTTTACATCCGCATCGCCAAATCAGAAGCGCACCAGCTTTGGGCAAGAGCAGCGCTCCCAGCAGCCGCGTCCTGGCACTGCTTCGAGTGATGAGCTCTACAGGGCTCCGCCTCCCACCACTCGCCTAGACTCGAACCTGAGCGGCCTGCCCTCTCCGGGTGCACAAAAATCCCCTCCTACGTATGAGTCTACTGTAAACACGACAAGAAGCGGGTCGAACCAGTTCCCGCCCGAATTTGGCGGTCTTCTCCCGTCTCGTGAGAACCCAACATCTTCTGGCTCTCCTGACACTGCGCAAGGCCCGGAGAGATCGTTCAATCCTCCAGGCGGCCACGGAGCTGCTCTCTTCGGTGGGCCGATCAAGTCTGCCACAACATCTCCGCCTCCTCTGGATACTCCCGCTTCGACTGTTCCCTCTGACCAATACCACTCTGGCATGGCATTTAGTACCAACGAGCCTAACCAGGGGCCATTGCCATCCGGCAACGTTCCTCAGCTCGGAAAATCTGCCTTTAACGACGACTTTGACGCTGGTTTTGATGACCTCGCTGATGCCAAGGAAGATGACAAGGCCGACGATGACTTCATATTTTCCTCGCAGCATCGTGAAGGACTCGATGAGTTCAACCCTGTTTTTGACTCGCCAGCTGCCTCCAAGGCGAACACAATGGCTTCGCAGCAAACACCTACTGGCAAGCCCCGCGGAGACGACAGCTTCAGTGACTTTGAGCACCTATCGCAATTTGGTGGACAATCCCAACAAGCTGCAGCAGGCTCTTCATCTCAGGACTGGGATGCCATCTTTTCGAACCTCGAATCTTCGCAGACCGACAAGGGCTCGCACTCGCAACAGGCACCAACCGACTTTGGCAAGTCCGTCTTTGACACTCTTGACAAGGAGGAGGTTGCTGCATCGTCATCAAAGTCGCAGCAATTGTCGCCTCAGATGCCTCCGCTTGGCCGTGCCATCAGCACCGGAACTGAACACGATGACCCTATTCTCAAGAAACTGACTGGCATGGGCTATGCACGGAACGATGCTCTTTCTGCGCTTGAGAAGTTCGACTATGACATCAACAAGGTAAGCACTGCACTGTTGCATCGTGTTTAGAAGGTAGCTTGACTAACACTTTTGTCCAGGCTGCCGACCACTTGGCGTCGGGAGGAAACTGAACAAAACAAATCAACGATGCCTTGACTTTGCACAGCCGTCATGATGTCGAATCGCCCTCTCTTGTCTTGTATGAGTACATATGTTTAGCATGGCTCGCTTCAATCATCATACCCTTGAGCATTGATTCTCTCTCTCTCTTTCTCTATCCGTCTCCTTCGCTCTCTCTCTCTCTCTCTCTCTCTCTCTCTCTCGCTTCCACTTGGTTTCTCGGTATCTGCGACGCGTAGCCCACACTTCCCCCGTCTTTTCCCCCTTTGTTCTGGACATTCTCTTCTTGTAGTAAAACAAAACATTCATTTTGGGGAAGTAGTGGAGAGAAAGAACAAGGGAAACCCTACATTTATGTTGGTTTTTTTCTTCTTCTTTTCCTTTGCTTTTTCCGCTGTTTGCTTGGGGGCGGTGGTGGTGGTGGTGCCGGTGGTAAGGGAAGGGGGGGGGGAATGGAATCTTGGTGACGGAAGGAACGTCTGGCGGCTCGACGCACATACTATGCAACTTAATCTAATCTTTTCTGGCTTGTCATGTTCTGTTGTTTAATCGTCTTCTGTGCTATTCACAGGCAATGTCATGAGAGAAAACGCTTTTTTGCTGTCTAGAGAGAGAGTGTGTTTTGTGTCGTTGATATTAGATGATGATTATCGAGCTCAGGCTAGTTATCACACGAATTGGCATTCATTACCAAAAAAACAAAACAAAAACAAAGGACTATGTAGCAACGAATGTTTGGATAGGAAGAGTTTGTGCAAAGACTGGTAAGTGGAGAATCAAGTTTAGATGTGAAATCCATCAATAGCTAGATAGATAGATAGATAGATCGATAGATAGATAGATAGATAGGGAGACGGGTATTTGATTTTCAATATGCAATCGTCGAGTATACGCAGCATTGGGGAAGAAAAAAAAAGAGAAAAAAAAAAGAACAAGTCAGGTACAAGTAGCACTCGTGCATACAAACGATGCACACACACACACATGCATACCAAAAAAAAAATACTAAAGCCCCTACACTCTCACACATAAACCCCCCCCCCAAGCTATCCATAATCCCAACAAGACCATCGAAAACGGCTACACAGCAGACAAAGTAGCAGGCACAGCCTCTGTTCTAACGGTACCCTCGACCTTCTCCTCGTAGCTGTCAAAGACAGCTGTGCCCTCGAGATGGCTGTGTTCAAAGACATCGACGTGCGTGGAGGCGAACTTGCGGGCGCTAATTTTCATTTCGAAGAGCAGGTCGAGCTCGGCGAAGGAGCGGCCGCGCGGCTCGGGGAGGCGGAAATATGTGTAGACGATGCTGAGGAAGCAGGATGCGGCCCAGAAGAAGCCTGCGTAGTTGCCCCTGTTTGGGTCATGTTAGTATGTATGTAGATAGGCTGGAGGAGGAAGATTGAAGGAGGGGGTTTTTTTTGTATGTGTGTGTGTGTGTGTGTGATAGCGGAGAAAAAAGAGTTGAAACTAAACGTACCAGTTCCAGGCTCCTGGATTGAGCATGTAGGGCGTAAGGACCGAAGTGATAATGGCAATGACATTGTAGAGATTGCGGCCGAGGACAACGGTCTTGATGGCGAGGCGGCGGGTCGACAGTTCGGCGACGAGCGAGTAGCACACGGTGCCAACGGTGAGCTGGTAAAACATGGCCCAGACAATCATCATGGCGCCCGTGGCCATGGCGCCGGATGCGCGCTGCGACTGCGGCACGAGTCCCAGGAAACCCATGACGAAGAGCATGATGCACAGACCGCAGAGACCGCCCAGGTACAGTGTTCGCCGGCCAATGCCCACTTTCATTAGGTACCAGGCGCCGAAGACGCCGGCCATGTTGATTCCGTACTGGCCCATTGCAAAGTCGTAGGATGTGGAGGGAGCCAGACCGGCTTGCTGGAGGAAGTAAGACGAGTAGCCTGAGAAGGCGTTGCCGCTGAGATTCTGCATTGCCCAAGCCATGCAGACGATTTCGGTGCGGCGCAGGTCGGTGCCTTTGAAGCAGTCCCAGTAGGTGGCGCCTTTTGTGATTTTCTCCTCGAGCGCCGTCGTGTGCACCATCATGGCGATGGTCTCGTCGGCGTTGAAGTCGGTTTCGCGGTTGAGGCTGGTGAGGCGGAGGAGCGCCTTTTTGGCGTCGTCGAGTCGGCCTTTGCGGACGAGCCACCAGGGGGATTCTGGGGCGAGGAAAACTCCAATCAAAAGGGGTACTGGCCACATCCATTGCAGGGCGTATGGGATGCGGTACGACCATTCATCTGGCCGGCTGACCAGAGAGCGGATGACGCCGATGCCGATGAGCTGGCCCAGGCCCCAGCAGAAGTTGACATATGTTGTTACTACAAAGTTGTAAGTAGGTAATTGCTGGCTCAATGCTGGCGTGACTTACAGTATCCACGCAGAGCAACAGGGCACACTTCGCAGGCATAAGTAATAGTCAGCGTCTGAAAGACGCCCCACGGGATACCACAGAGAATCTCAGCAAGGAGCAGATGCACGACCGTCTGCGCGGTGAAGAAGATAGCCGTAAAGCCGATAATCAGCGTCAGACATCCCATAACCGTATACCGATATCCAATGGCCTCACTGACCCAGCCGTTGAGAAACAAGCCGATAATCTCGCCCACAATGAGGCCGTTGGACAAGCCGGCCTGCCACGGTGCTGGGATTTCCCACGTGCCGTTGGGCAGTTGCTCGCCGTATTTGCGCTTGAACTGCGGGAACCCGAAGAAGTTGTTGAGAAGACAGACGTCGTAGCCCTCCATGACGATACACGTGCTGATGAGGATGGACCATCCAATCGCCTTTGGGTACAGCTTGATGCCCTGCAACAGCGTCATTTTGCGCTCCTTGTCCGACGCAAGGCGCGCATCGTTGACAATCTTGTTGGCAGCGCGCTTGTGATGGTCGTCGTAGTCGGCATCGAGGTCGACTGGAGGGGCAGTCGAAGCCTCGATTTCCTTGTCGTGCGCCATGTTGAAGACGCGCTGGGCAACAATCGGGCCGAGAGCGATGTGTCGTCGTCTTCGGGAAGTGTTCTAGAGTAGTAATGTAATACAGTAGTGGGGAGATCCTGGTAACGCCCGCTCTCCACTCCTGCACGCTCTGCACCGCAACAAAGGCAAAAGAAGAATCCGGGGAAACTTGCTACCGGGACATTGGGCTGGTAAAAAAGGATATGCGGCGGTCTTTAAGCATGAGAATTTGCGGGGTCCAGGACATGGTTTGGGCCAAGCGCAGTGGGAAGCATCTTGTCTTGGTTGGAGAGCGAAGAAGTGGAGCGGCTCCTGTCCTGGCGCGGTGGGCGGGCGTGATTGGATGCCAAGACAAGGAGGCCTTCTGCGAGTGGTTAGCCATTTTGACGGGCGTGCTTGTCCAAGGCCCGGAAAACACAACCTTGAGGCCAGCATCTCGTGCACGCCGCTTGCATGCGTCGTCTCGCTTGGCCGGGCTCAGTAGAGCGGAAGTGCCGATGGGCGGAGAGCGGGCTGCTCCATTGGGCCCCGGTGAGGTCGCGTGCATGGCTTGGACTGGCGCTAGGGGCTGCTGTGCTGAGCATTGCCATGGTGAACAGGTAGGTATGCCTACACACGAGTCGGGCAGAAGGATGCCAAGCAGGAAAACAAGAGCATGCCCAGCTTCCCCAGAGAAATACCACGATATTCGCCGAGGTAGAGCCTCATCAACCTCTGCCGGCACTTGGCGAGGCTTTTTTTTCACACAAGTCGAGTGGCCGCCGACTCTTCTGGCTGAGCGTGTACGGCGTTGCCAATCCGCCGCCGCCACCTTGTCGGTGCCATCTGTCCGCGGCGTATAAGTATCCTTCCGCAGTGTCTTGGAAACCAGTGCTTGGCATTCTCGAGGAACTGTAAACCAGTCCTGACTTGAGAGACTAGAGCAAGAACACTCAGCGTGATGCTTTTCAACCATTACCCAGCTAACTAGAGAGCCCATCTACTTTGGCTATGCTGCTCTGATCCAAGTCTAAACATGCTCTCTGCTGGTTAGCAGATGTCTACTCTACACACCCGAGACCCGTAAAATAATCACTAAGCCCATCTCTGGACATCGGACCGTTCTTCAGGGAGCGTCTCCTACTTCAGGCTGGACCTGCTCAGGCTCACGCTTCCGCGGCTGCACTCTGCCCCCGAAAAACACCAGCAGCAACAAATCATACGTCGCCTTCAAGCTGCCCGCTGCCACAAAAGCGACCCAGAAATGGTTGTGCCCAGCAAGAATACCTGTGACCGTTGGACCACTGCTCTGACTCAGCGTCTTGAGAATATTGACCACGCCCATGACTGCCGTTCGCTCTTCCGGCAGGACCACGATGGAGAGGAACGCCGACCGAGGCGCTTGATCCATGGAGCTAAGGACAGAGCGGGCGACAAGCAGGCAGATGGTTGCCGCCAGGCCAGACGGGACTGGCAAAAGGGCCAGAAAGAGAGAGGCTGGTAGATGAGTGACTACCATGGCTTGGATCAGGCCGAGGCGCTTAGCTAGACTCGAGGCAAAGACATTGCCAGTGGTTGACACGAACCTGCAACTCAGTCAGCCAGTTGATTCTGCATCAACTAAGACCCAGACATACCATGTTGCCGACATGATGCCTCCCAGTTTCCCCTTGGGCAAGTTGAACTTCCGGTCCATGTAGTAGTTGATCAGACTGAAGGGAACCATGCCTGAGCCCAAGGAATCCAGGAAGAACAGGCTACAAAGCTTGAGCAGAACCATGCGAGTCGGCTTCGATATCGTGCTGATCGAGTGCCAGAATCTCTTCTTCTTCTTCTTTTCCGGCTTCGCCACGTCTTGCTCTTGAGCATCACTTGTCTCCTCCAACAGTGGCTGCGTCTCAGCAGCCTCAGCAGCCGCATTCCTCTTAGGCTTCCCACCCTCGTGCTCACACTGTTGGCTCATAAACAGCGTCATAACCGCCTTGACACAGCCAACGCCCGTGTAAATCCAGAAAATCGCTCGGTACGCATCCAGAACCGTCCAGCCCTCCAGCGCCTGCAGGCGATCGATAACCACACCACCGACTGCCAGGCCTGTCGAGGTGCCCATGACAGCCAGCACGACATACCAAGTATACACGTCAGATCTTTCCGTCTCAGCCACGAGCTGCGCCAGCGTCGACTCCTCGACAGCTCTGAACGGGCCAATCTCATTCCCACTCGGACTAATGACACCGACAATAGCCGCAAGAAGCAACGCTACATAGTTAATCGTCGTCGCAAAGACGGCCCCAGAAACCGCCATGGACACGGCGCCGAGCAGCAGGATCCTGCGCCGCCCCAGTGCATCCGCAACGAGCGTCAGCAGCAGACTAATCACGACATCGCCGAGCAGCGTCAGCGTCATGAAAAGCCCAATCTGCTCGTCCGAAAACCCTTGCTCTTGGAAGAACAGCGCGAGAATAAGCGCAGCCGCGCCGTATGCGAAAAGCCGGAGATAGCGTGCAAAGATGATGAGATAGACGTCCCTTCCAGTTTTTCTCATTGTAGCCAGGCCGAATTCCTGACCCAGCCACCGGGCTCCCTTGAGCACGCTATTCTTGACTGACATTTTTGATTTATTTCCAGGTTTTATGTTCGGGCGCGGAAAAGGCGTAGGATAGCCATTCACCGGTGTGCGGCGTTACAAACGGTCAAGGCTTTTTCGAGTTGGTGAAAACGAAATGCGGTATTAAGCAAACTGCAAGCAAGTGTCAAAAGCCTCTTTAGAAATCGGTGTGACAGGAAAAGTCTGAAGCTGCGATGGTGCTCGAGATGGATGCCTGAACGCGCAATAGCCCGGCGCCAGCCTTTTACCCGAAACGGCAAGGGGCAAGCGTATACACCGCATCTCCATGTCCAAAGGACGTTTCGAGGGCGCAACAGCCAGCTCGAGACGTGCAGAGAAACAAGTTTCATCCATACCAGCCTGCTGTATACGTGACAGGCCAGGCGCATAAAGTGGGGTCCATGCCGAGGACAGACTGATAAGCAACGGGCACTAAGAATTGCTTTTGGACGGCATCACAGGCATCTTCGCTGTACGTCAGTACGTCATTACACACATACATGCCAAGCACCAAAGTCATGAGATAAAGGATGATTGTCCCATATTAAGAACACCTAGAACACTCCGAAAGAAACAGAGGGCCCAGCGGCCACCACAAATTGTAATGCAGAAACCAGCACATCCCAGAAATCCAAACGAGAGCCCCCATTCTAAGCGAGTCGCGTCGCCATGCTAGCACAAAGACCGGGACAGAGACGGAGATATCGTGACGAATGGGAGAGGACATGGCGGCCATGGATCCGTGCGCATTCTCGTGGTTCCGCTCCCCTTGTCGCAGTCGCATATGGAGACGGGAAATGTGGCGCCCACGTCGTGTCTCGCTCGTCCTTGGACGCTTGTACGTGTCTCTGACACATTTGAACTCTTCTCTTTCCCCGCCTAGCAGCAGCCGCCACCGGATCCGCTCTGCACGCCCTGGCCTTGCCCGATGGGGACTGTGGGCTTGGTGTTGGCGGTTGTGGTACCCATACGCTCCTTGATCTGGCGGGCCATGGTGAGGAAAGCTTGCTCGACGTTGGTGGCGCTCTTTGCCGAAGTCTCGAGGAATGGAATGCCGAGGCTGTCTGCGAATTCCTAGGGGTACTGTTAGATGGATGCTGGGGCTGCACGCGAGACAGGGGCCGTGTGGACGCACCTTTGCTACAGTGTACTCAACAACCTTCTTGTCCGCCATATCGGACTTGTTGCCAACCAGCAGCTTGTTGACGCCCTCGGTGGCGTATCGGTCAATCTCCTGTAGCCACTGCTTGACGTTGTTGAATGAGTCCATGTCGGTGACATCGTACACGACGCAGATGCCGTGAGCGCCACGGTAGTATGACGATGTGATGGTTCGGAAGCGCTCTTGGCCGGCCGTGTCCCACTGCAAGTGCCGTCAGTACTCGCGCCCCCAAAGCACCATGGCTGTCGGGGCATACGCACAATCTGTAGCTTTACCGTCTTGCCATCGAGCTCGATCGTTCGGATTTTCTGCTGCGCGTTAGTCCCGTGGCAGGCGCCAGCAGCAGGCGGCTAGGCAGACGCACAAAGTCGACGCCGATGGTCGAGATGTAGCTCTCCGTGTATGTGTCGTCGGCAAAACGGAGCAGCAAGCACGACTTTCCGACACCAGAGTCACCGATGAGGAGGAGCTTGAAGAGGTAGTCGTATCTATGTGCCGAGCAGCGTCAGTGGCGGGAGTGCCGTGGCGGGAGCAGCAGCGTGGGAGCTGTGCCGCAGGGGAGCCAAGTTACTCTATAGGCACTCGAGTTAGCACGGCTCCAGATGCAGCCATACGCGGCCCTTGAGCCCTGGGCTGTGGCGGTGGGCTTTGCGCGGAGGAGCAGTTACGTACCACTCTGGGTTCATGGTTGCGGTGTTGCGGGCGTGTGGGAAAAGCAGAGGCTACAAGGCGTGAGTGCTGCAGGGGCTGTGGGGGGGGAGGCAGAAGTCGTGGGGTATCGTAGGTCGTCGGGGGGGGGGGGTGGACGAGGTGGGTGTGGGAGTGGGTGTGTGAGGACGATGGGATGCACTGCGCGGATACCAACCAGGTGTGGAGGAGCTTGGCACTCAGCCCCAAATCCGTGGTCACAAGTTGCCGGAGCCCGTTTCGCGTGAGCGGGCGAGCGAACATCACATTCACAGCACAGCACAGCACAGCAGCAGCAAGCAGCAGCCGCCTAACCTGCCCCAGCCAGCCCAGCTACTGCGCTGTCGAGCATGTGACTCAGGCCGGCGCTCTTATCGCCCACGACGGCAGTCAGCACGCAGCAATCAGTCCGTCATGGGAAACCCAGCCTGGCCGTGCCATGGCATGCCATGGGCGCGCGCACGTGACGGCGAACCCACCATCGCCGTCGTTTCACATGCACGGCCTAGTCTCGTGGCGGAATGGAGAATGTCTAGTTGCTCTGCAAATGTGCGCCGTCGACACCTACGCTACATGCGTCGTTGCATTAGACGCTGCCCGCCCTGCCAGTCCCAGTCCCAGGCACCCGTAGCCCCGCGCTTCCCATATAGTACAATCAAATCCCGCTCTACTAATTACATGATCTTGCCAAACGCAGGGATCAGCGTCTGCGCCAGCCAGAAGGAGAAGACAAGCTTGGGGCCCGTCATCAGCAGCTTGGGTGTCAGTCCCTTGAAGAAGGACGTGAAGCCCTCGTGCTTCATCATGTTGGACACGATCCTGAACCCGCTCTCGGGGTTCTCAAAGTTGCGGTTCTGGATGCGAGTCTTGATTACGTCCAGAGGCGCCGACACCACGAGCGATGCGCTAGCGCCTGCAATCGACGCGACAAAGTTCTGCATCCAAGTTGCCGAGTTGTAGTCGGAGAGCTTGTAGAAGTACTCCTTGGCAACGGCGGAGCCACCGAACAGCTGTGACGACGTCAGTTCATGCATTCCCTTTTTTTTCTTGCGTATCATATTTGAGCATACCGCGAACGATCCAGGTGCGTTACGTGCCGCTGTCCATCCCCAACCACGGTAGAGTCCAAAACCCTCGTCCGAGACGATTTTGAACAGTCCTCGGCCCCGGAAAGCCTCTGGGTTTGTTTGTCGCTTGATCTTGAGAACATCCAGAGGCAGGAGGACGATTTCACCAATGCCGATGAGTGATCCTGCGGTCGCGTGCATAATCGCCTTGCCGTTACCCTTGCCAAACGTACGGTCGAAGCTGTCGCCGTGGTTGTGCGCGAGGTAGTCCCGAACAAAAGGCTGACCACCAAACTTGTACACTCGTTGGAGCACCTGCCACTGTCAATTGAACGCTCTCTTTAGCCTGCAAGTATCCCACCTACCTTGTAAGCTGCCGCGTATCCGAGACCGGGGAAAAGAGACAGGAAGCGGGCAGAGGCAGAGGCCGAGGCCATGTCCCTGAAGACGACCCTGTTCAAATGCGATGCGGACTCAATCTGCATGTCCAGAGTCAGATACAGTCATGGCACATCAAAAATTCATGTCGCACCTTGCCAATGTTGCTCATCAATCGCTTCGCCGTGGTGTCGACGGGGTGGAAGACCATGAGCTCTGCGATTCCCGCACATCCTACAGCCGGTTAGACCTGACACCTGGAGTTCCTACAAAAACGACATACCTGCACCCAGCACTCTGGCCGTGTTGGACTCCCTCTTGACTGCCTTGGCCGACGAGTTGGTGCCTGACGCAGCCTGCGCAACCTTGGCCACAGCCTCTGAAGGTGATGGCGTCATTGTGGATTTTTTTTTGTCTTCACGTGAGGACCGTGTGAGGAAGAAAAAAGAAAGGGATAGGAATTGACTGTGCGGGAAGAGAAAAGGGACTGGCAGCACACAGCAATTGGGCGGGCAAAAAAGTGAGAAACCGAGAGCTGCAGATAAGATGGTTCCGCGAAAGCCCACCAAAAAAAGTCGTCGGGGAAGCGAGTCCAAAGTCCGGTGTCGCCCCGCCAAGCCCGCTAGCACGTGGGATTCCTGGGGTTCGCGCACCTTGATGCTCTGCACGCGACGTGAATTGATGTCGCAATGGACATTGCGTAGCTTCTATGGTACAGTTCTCTTGCCATACTCAATGTAGTGAAATATGAAAAAAGAAAAAAAAACTGATTTGCTGCTTCAGTTGAACAAAACCGAGTGACATCAAGTAAACCCGCAGGTAGGAAGGCGGGGTCTTGTACACCAAAATCACCATTGCCATGGATATTTACAAGGACCCATTTACATTCCCGATCCTGACGCCTCAGGCTACCCATGCCCATCCAACATAGCCACCTTTGCCCACGCCCCATCCGAGTAAAGATGTACAGAGCATGTGACGACGAGCACTAGCAGTCCAGACATCAGGCGTGCAAAGCAGAACAACGCAACTGAACCTGTTTTTACTCCACTTCCAACAATACTTACTTCACGCCGCCGCCTTATTGTACGGCTCATATCATATTACAACGCTCATATCACGCCACAGAAAAGCCAACAGCAGCAACACCAGACGAGCAAGAAAGAGAAAGACAAACAAGAACAAAAAAAACACACCATGTTTGACCGTATCCGCGGAAAATCGCCATCAAGGCACTCGAAAACCGAGTCTACAGATTCCGCCCTGGGCAGCACCTCACCCAATCTGGCACCACCAGCACCACCAACCTACACAGCGCCTTCATCATGGCCATCAGCATCGCCATCAGCGCCGTTCCAAACGCGCTTTGCCTCGCTCTCACTGCACATGGAAGACCGGCTACGCTTCCTGCGGTTCCCGGAGCCCATCATCTCAGCATGCCGCAACGCGATTCTGACCAACTGGCCGTCTGGCATTTCCAGCGAGCGGCCGTATGCAAACGCGCACGAGATCAAGCTGAAGGGGTATCCGTGGTCCGGGTACGGGCAGGATGCGGCGCACGCGCGGCGCATGGTCAAGAGCATTTTGTCGACGCTGCATGCGTGGGGCTGGCTGCTCACGCTCAACACGGATATCAGCAAGACGGCCACGGACAAAGATACCATGTTGTTTCGGTACCAGGCGCCGCCGCCCGCGCGCCACGAGTGGTGCAGTATAGCGTTTTCGCGCCAGAGCCGCTTGCGCTTTATTGATTGTCCCCCCTCGGTTTATGCGTCGCTGCCGGATAGGGTGGGACCGGACTGGATTAAGGGACAGAGCGAGTATGCGCCGGGGATCTGGGAGTTTGAGTTGCATGGTTATCCGTGGTCGTCGACGGGGAAGACGACCATGCAGGTCAGGGAGCTGTTGATGGCTCTGGTGGAGATGTTGGAGGAGGAAGGGTGGAGTGTGTATGCCAGTATCGATCAGAAGAGTGGCGCGGGTCAGGGGACGAGTGAGACGGATACTTGGTACTGCTGTAAGTTGAAAGGGTGGGAAAAGGGCATGCCTGTCTATCTGAGATGAAAGTTGTAATGTCAATATTTCAACATAGCCGTTTTGGTTCAACCGTGATATATTGTTTTGAACGATTTCTAAACGCCGCCCATGCATTTTTTTAGGTGGGTATACATAAAATCCTACACATTTCCCCTCATCACCGCTTACGATGGAGGACTGCCAATTTCCTTCTTAACCCAGTTCTCCAGACCACCAAGAGCAATGATTTCTTGGACGTTGGGTGGCAGTTCACCGACCTTGACGCTCCACTTGGGGCCGTTTGGTCCCTCCTGGACAGAAACAGTGCTTCTTCGGACGTCCCATTCCAGGGTCCATCCTGTGCGGCGTGTCATCTGCTTAGCCTGGCTGGGCTGAGCAGCAGCCGCTGGTGGTGGCGAGTCGAGCGATTCGCTATTGTTTGAAGGCTCCTTCATGGTTTGTTGCGACGAAGACGCATCCTTTGACGAGAAAACCTCGCGGAGACGATTGGCTAGCTTGGGCACCTCGACGCCCATCAAAGCATTGTTAATACTGTTCCTGCTGAAGATGTTGCCAAAGCTCCCAGCAACAACCAGAGGGATGCCCTTGGCCAGGATGGCAGTCGCGGCTTGTTCACGACTGCTACCACAGCCAAAGTTGAAGCCCGACACGAGGACATCGCCGGCCTTGGCGACTTGGCCAAAGCTGGGGTCGTAGTTCTCCATGCATACCTCTGCCATCTTCTCGCGCGTTACGTCGTCTTGGTATGTGTATTTGCCAGGGTAGATGCCATCCGTGTTGATGTTGTCGGCATCACAGAAGACAATCTCGCCGCTAATCTTCTCGGGAAAGCCCGGCAGGATCTCGGTCAAAGTCTCGGCCTCTGAGCCTGCCGCTGCAGGTGGATTGACAGACTGCCCTTCCGACTCAGCGGTGCTGAAGGTGTCGATGGCGGCCTCTGCATCTTTGATTGCCTTCTCAAGCATGTCCTCAATGGTCATCATGCGCTCTTCGGCGGGAATGCCATCGCCTTCTCCGCGTCGGACGCCCTCGTAGCCTTCGGGAGCCTCGTACCACCCGGGACCAGAAATCTTTCCAGACAGTGCACTTGCTGCAACGACTTCGGGACTGGCAAGGTAAGCCTTGGCATCGGGAGAGCCCATGCGGCCCTTGAAGTTGCGGTTGCTTGCACTGATGCCGACCTCGCCAGGCTCAAGAAGACCAGTACCGAGGCCAATGCAAGGCCCGCAACCAGAGGGAAGCGGCTGAGCACCTGCTTCTAGAAGAGCCTGCCAATCGCCCGCCTCCTCTGCAGCCTTTTGCTCTGGAATAGATGCCGCAGCGATGTAGAAGTTGACGTGGTCGGGAATCTTGGGGATCTTGCCGTTGTTCTTCACTGCAGCATCCTTGAACACATTGGCGGCGGCTGCGAGGTCAGAGGCACGGGAATTTGTGCACGATACAAGGTAGGCTTTGTTGATGGGGATATTCTGGCTCTGCAGCTCAAGCAAAGGAGCGGCAACCTTGACGGAATTGGGGCCGGAGACGTATGGCGACAGAGTAGAAAGATCGAGGAAAAGCTCTTTGGCGTATACGGCACCCTTGTCCGCAGCGAGCGCAGGCTTGAAGATGTGGCCCATCTGCTCACCAACGATACCTGTAGCAGTAAACAGTTTGTCAATGCGCTCGTGAATAAACTGTTGCCGGTGGTGGTCCTTGGCCTGGCCTTCGCCCATGGCTGCTAGTGTAGCCCTGGCGCGGAGCCAGCCGTGGAGCGTGGCGTCGATGGGGAAAAGTCCAGTCAGAGCACCCCATTCAGTCGTCATGTTGGCAATGGTTAGGCGGTCGTCGATGGGGATGCTGCCAAGAGTCTCGTCGGTGCCTGTGAATTCAATTGCGTGGTTGAGCACCTCGTCCTTGTTGAAGAGCCCAGCCAGCGCAACAATGACGTCCTTGCCAGTGACGCCCTGGGGCAACTTGCCATTGAGCGTGACCTTTGCGACGGGGGGAATCTGCCACCACGTCTTGCCCGTTGCCCAGATGCTCGCCGCATCAGTTCGCACTACCGGAGTACCCAGACACCCAATACCGCCATACATGTTAGAATGGCTATCAGAAGCCACGGCGAGGGTGCCCGGCCAGGCGTAGCCCTCCTCGACCATGATTTGATGTCCAATGCCGCGCCCTGCAGGATAGAAGACGACGTTCTGGGTCTTGGCAAACTCCTCAATCTGGCTGTACTTTTTCAGGTTCTTCTCCGACTTGTTCTGGACATCGTGGTCGAGCGTCATGACAATCTGCGAGGGGTCGCTGATCTGGGTGGCTCCAATGCCCATGAACTTGAGCGCCACAGGCCACGAGTTGTCGTGCGTCATGCACTTGTGTGGCTGCAGCGTCACGTAGTCGCCAGAACGAAGGACCTTGCCTGGCGCCACGCCCACGGCATGTCGCTGGACAATCTTCTCGGTGAGCGTCTGTGGCGTCTTGGGGGTCTCGTTGAGCGCCGAGAGGAAGCTGGCGGCCGGGCTCTCCTTCATCGAGGGAAACACATCCTGGGCCTCACGGCGAGCGGCAATGGCGGAAAAGGCTCTTGGGGCCGCCTGGAATCGGGGCGCCTGGGGCGAGGGGCGAGGAGCAAGGGCAAAAGCAAGGCTCGCTCGAGGCTGCTTGCGGAATTAGACGGGCGACGGGCAGACACCAGACGGAGCCATGCTGGGGACCTACTGCCATGTGCCTGCGGCCCAACAGGCGCGCAGCCCGTAGCGACATTGCCATTGCGTGTTCTCGGGGGTGGCGACGGGCAGTGCGGGTGTTTTGCAGGAGCTGCGGCGGCGGCGGCTGGCGATGTACTGGAGTAATAACAACGAGCCGCTTTCCCCAGAGTTTGGGCCAAAAATTCGACCCACCACGCTCGCCCGAAGCCGGCGTCAAGTCATCGGATTCCCAGCGCCTGCCATTGGACAGCCGCGCCACGCCTCAACCGGCATGCATGCTCCCACGCGCACGCCCTGTCGCCAGCAATGTAACGGGAGAGACCGAGTCGCTGCCATGCACATGCGCATGGCGTGCAAGTCGCTCCAGCGGCCAGCTTGACGGCGAGCCCGAGATCGGATGCGCGGGCGGGCGGGCTTTGGAGTCATCTCGCACATGACACGATCCGGGACCAGACTTTTATATCATCATCAACATCACTTACAGTAAGTATACAAACAAACCGCGCCCCCTCTCTGCTCGACACACTGCAACAACACACGCCCAGCCCACGCCGCCATTAACGCCCCAACTGCCCTGGCCGCCGAAATGGTCAACCGCTCCGACGTCACCTACTTTGGTGCTGGCCCCGCCCCGCTCCCCACCACTGTGCTCGAAAGAGCCTCGCAGGCACTGCTCAACTACCGCGACAAGGGCATTGGGCTCTGCGAGATCTCGCATCGCTCGCCCGAGGCCAACGAGATCCTCGCAGACACCAAGAAGGCCTTGGCCGAGCTGCTGGAAATCCCCGACGACTACGAGATCCTCTTCCTCCAGAGCGGCGGCAGTGGCGAGTTCAGCGCGACCGTGTACAATCTCGTGTCCATCTGGGTCGAGAAGCAGCGCGCCAAAATTGCCCACGACGTGGGCGACGACAAGGACGAGGTGCTCAAGAGGCTCCGCAAGGTTGTGGATGGAGAGCTCAAGCTCGACTACCTCGTCACGGGCTCATGGTCGCTCAAGGCGTCGCAAGAAGCTGCTCGCCTCGTAGGAGCCAACCATGTCAACGTGGCCGCCGATGCGCGCAAGGCCAACAATGGCAAGTTCGGCAAGATCCCCCCAGAGGACCAGTGGAGCCTCACGCCGCGGTCCGCCGGCGGGCCTGCATTTGTCTACTTCTGTGACAACGAGACCGTCGATGGAGTCGAGTTTCCCGACTTCCCGCAGAGCCTCCAAGGCGACGACGCGCCTCTGGTCTGTGCCGACATGTCGTCCAACTTTATTTCCCGAAGGGTCGACGTGCGCAAGTACGCAGTCATCTTTGGTGGCGCGCAAAAGAACATTGGCAATACTGGCATCGCTATTGTCATCATGCGGAAGTCACTCCTTCCGCCTCACTCGACACCGGCTTCAGCGGACCTGTTGAGGGAGCTGAACTTGGCCGTGGGCCCCATTGTGCTCGACTATCCTACCATTGCGAAAAATAACTCACTCTACAACACCCTGCCCATTTTTGACGTGTGGGTTGCGGGTCAAGTCATGTCTGGACTCGTCACCACCTACGGCGCGAAGCGTATCGGTGGCCAGGAAGACATTTCCAACGAAAAGGCCCGGCTCATCTACGAGATCCTTGACAGGTATCCAGACATCTATCAAGTCGTTCCAGACAAGTCAGCACGCAGCAGGATGAACATTTGCTTTCGAGTCCACGGCGGGGCTGAGGACAAGGAAAAGGCTTTCCTTGCAGGCGCAGAAAAGAAGGGCTTGCTAGGGTTGAAGGGCCATCGGAGCGTCGGTGGAATTCGTGCCAGCAACTGTAAGTGGTCTCCATGGTTGTCGTGTCATTCATGGCAATGCCGGCCATGCATCCGTCAGCGGTTGTGCGGGAGCACGATTCCCTGCACTGCCCGTATCCCCGTACGGTCGGGTATCCTCGTACCGGAATTGGGCCCAGCACAGTACTGCCTTCATGACTCAGGCTAACATGACTTGTGCTCCAGACAATGCAGTGACGCTAGACGGCGCAAAGCTGCTCGTTTCATATCTTGAAGAGTACGCAAAGTCGACATAAGCAAAGAGGTTGCGCGAGATTACATGAACAAAAAAAAGAGTTTAGATATTACTATGCAGTAGGAAAAGCCCTCATTTCCCAGCAGTACCTCTGTGTGGCATTGGTGTCATTCAACAGCCACTGATATGCTGCAACGTACATATCCAATCCATTATCCCTCCTGGTTATCCCGGTTTACCATGACTACATACAGCCACCACCAGACCCCCTCGTAACCATCTAGACTATCGAATGCATAATCGGAGATTTACCTGAGGCACGCTTCTACGCCACATTCGCGTAAGCTTCTGTTGGCTCCCGTGACATTTGGGCTAGCGCTTTGATCGTGTCCAAATATCGCCGTTGGTTATGCCAAGACTAGCCTCCTCCCTGCAGTTGATGCGCTTTCTTTTTCTGTCCCACAGTGGCGCGTCGATCGCCATTCTCACATTGCTTTGGGTGGCGTCCTTGTCCAAGGTGTAGGAAGAGGGTGGCTGTGCTAAGGTGTTTTCTGTCGCAGTGATGAACAGAGCTGAGTGATGGCGATGGTGCTGGTGCTGGTGCTGGTGCTGCTGCTCTTGAACGGAACGGCGAGTAGATGGCAAGATGGCCAGTGGCTGCACTGACGCTGAAGCATGTGCGACCGTTTCTGACAACCAGACGCCGGAGTCCTGGTCCCAAGACCAGTCGGTTCAAGTTTGGGCATCGCCCTCAGCTCCCCTTCACCTTCGCGGCCTCGAGTGGCGTGCAGGGGTCCGTCATAGTGGACGTCAGGATGGGAATCTCGATGCTCCACCAGACTCGTTCACCCAGGAAGGGGAGAGTTCTCCCGCATCCTGCAATCTTAGGGTGTCGAATGTTTTGCAGCCATGGTGTAGAGCAAGCCATGTTGGGGCGGCGTGGCGACTGGGCCCATCCCACGCACGCCGTTCTGTTCGTGGATTGCTTCTCGGTTTTGGCTGGACATGCTCGCTGCGCACCGTGTCATGCGGGCGCAGGCCTGTCCCGGCGACCGTTAAGCCGACCGGGGTTCTGCAGTTCTTTTTGTCTCGGATGGGGGCACAAGCGAGGATCTGCGGCACTGCCTAAACCCAGCAAGCATCAGAACCTTAGCCTGGCCACCACAACCTCACCACCACGCCCGCCTCTGGCCCTATCGCCCGCCCCAGCGCCTCCAGACAGACACTGGCTCCAGCAAAGGGTTCTCTCCAGCAGGCCAATTATAGATGTCGGCGTCAAAACACAACGTGCCATGGACAGGAACCGCCGCTGCTGACCGCCGACACCATTGCACCACGGCATCCACAATGGCCGCTGGCCCCGTGTACTGATACTGCGGGGGACGGCCATGACGGCAACGTCAGACTGCCATGACGTCTCGTTCGCCCACAGACGAGCAGCCGGGCCATGACGGCCGCAGAGACAGAGACAGAGACCAGAGCGCAGCCACCAGCTCCACCAGGGCCCTTCCCTTGGGTGGCGGACCGACGAGGACCAGGGGCCACACGGCGTGTACGGGTCTCGCTGCATCCGCTTCCATGGCTCCCTAGCACACGTGGCTCGCATGAGGGTGAAACCCCACCTCTGCGAGCGCGAGCGCGCGCGGGAAGATGTGACCTGTAAGATGAGAAGAATCAGCCATTGCCAATGCGGGTCCTACCAGAGAGGGTCCGAACAGACGCCTGAGGACGGCTGCCCCGAAACCGTGCGCTGCTGGTACCGCCCAGTGGTTTTGTCATATACCGTTTGGAGTCTCAGTCCCGTCTCTTGTCCCTGACGTCTAATGCTCACGCTCTTTCTCCTTCTTTCGTTGCGCTGCTGGCAGGCTTAGGCAGTTACTTTCTTTGCACCGAGCTGGTTTCTCTTTCGTTAACGACGTCAGTCCAACAGTCTCCATGTATACCTAGTCGATTTCCTTTCTTTAGCCGCTGCTGGTTACCAGCGAGACAACCCTTTTCCTTCTACACCTGTTGTAACCCGAGCTGGCAAGATGGGATCATGGTCGCATCACTACGCCCAGCTTGACGCCCGGTCGCACTTCAACTTGACCCTGAATAGCTCAGCGGTTCGACAAGTTCCATGGACGCAATCCAACACGACCCGGTCCTTGATTGCTTCACTGCAACTGCAGCAAGTCCAGACGCTCCGCACGACGCATCTGACCCTCGGGGCCTTTAGTCTTGCCTTGGCCTTGTTGTCAGTCCATCGGATTCTTTCGGACGCACGACGAGCAGCAGCTCTCCAGGTCCTAACCAGGAAGAAGTCAGTACAGCGCGCTAGGAAATACACATGACGACTAACAGCCGTACAGGAGATTTAATGCACTTCATAATGTTCACCCCGCCGAGACCTTCCCACTAGCCTTGGCCTTTGGCGCCGTCCTACAACAGATTGTCTTCGTGTCTGTGCAGAGCACTACCCTTCAGGGTATATTCTCCACCAACTGCCGAGGTCTAGCAATGGTCACATTTCCCGGTATGTTGTCTCTTGCCCGCTCCGCCTAGGCAGTGTCTGACGACCACAGCCATCTTCTTGATGGGATACATCACGTTGGTTTTTGGTATCGAGATGCTTATTAGAGCGCTTCAAGCGGAACGCTTTGCTCCGCGCGGCAAGTGGAATACGACAGTCTGCATCGCCATCGTATCCTTCATGATGCTACTCACATGGATACCGACTGTTGCCTGGCCAATGTCCAATGTATGCTTTGGCAGCTTGATCTGGTTTCCTATGCGATACGATCTTCTGATGCTGATTATTCTTTCTGTGCTCGTTGCTTCCTTGTTGATTGTGGCCGCCCTAATAAGCTATCAATTGATGAGAACACCAGACCTGGACCACAATGAGCGCATCTCGGCTTCACGTATGACCTACTTCCTGTTAGTAGCTACCTTGATCTATGTGAGTTAGTTCTGCTCTCTGGCGTCTATCTTATCTAACATTGATAGGCTCTCGTGATTCCTGTCGAAGTTCAGTCTCGACGAAGAGAATTCATGATGGCATTGGCAGCTTCCCGAATCGCAGAAATCTCCCTCTTCTCCTCTGGCATGGTCATCACCTTCTTCCACCTCTTCCTCCGTACAAACGCAACACGCATGGTCATCCGTCCTATCGACGAGCTGAAAGCTCCCCCCTCGCAAAGACGACCCAGGATTCGATTCTTCGGCCCCAGCGACTTGGAAATGCAAATTAGCGGACCAATGGCGCTACAGACAACACAGCGTCTGGATAGCCGCCAAGGTCTGATTGATGTTGGGCCCGAAAAGCATCTCCATGACATCGACCCCAGTTACTTTGAACGTCCAGAGCGGGCTTTGACACCATCAACAGCCAGGTCAGGAGCTTCAATCGACCCCACTGACTGGCCTTTGCCCCCGGTGCCAGAGAAAGATACCCCACGTTACGCGAATGAACGCAATCAAAGCTACTCGTTGTTTCCCACCCGAGCCGAAGAGGTACCACGCCTTCCAGCGACCGTCTACGATCCGAATGCTACACAAGATTCGGTCTCCAAGCTCGCTCTCAGGCGCTTTACACGACGAGGGTCCGTTACCAACGTCAGTGATGCGTTCGAATTCCTCACCAAGCCAATGTTGCCCTTTGTTGAGCGCCATCAACGCATGAAGAGCACTGATAGCAGCGCAACTGTCCAGATCGGCCTCCGCTTCTCGGTCGCGCCTGCTACTCTTGCAGCAGCCAAGTGCACTCGAGCAGAACGCGATATTCAACCACTACAACGAAACGGCACCGACACGAGTGAAACGTCCATGTTCCTCCCCATTCAAGGGCCTCCGAGGACAGATGCATCACCATTCGACGACATGATCAGCCCTACTACCATTCCTCAACCTCTTTCACACGGCAATCTACCAATGCACACTGGAGCAGAGAGCCCAAATCAGAGACCGATCTCCCCCCTCGCTCCCGTAGCCTACTCGGGTGGTTATACCAAGGTTCAACACGACAAGGCGTTTCCCCCCTCTCCATTTCAACAAACAAGCTCTCCACTCCGGTCGGCGCCTCTCACGCACACGGCGCTTGCCTCACCTTCTGTCATGAGCGGGCTTCGCATGAACCCCATCACACCCACGGGATCACGACCAAGTACACCTGCATCGGCCAACTCACTCACACGGATACACAGCGGCGGCAGTGCTCCATCGCCCACAGCACGTATCCCCCTTGGCGCAGGCACAATGCAACGAAATCCCCCATCCAAGGGCTGGATCTGAGTGTTTCGGCCTGAGCTCTGCATGAAACATGAGGAGCGTTTTCCTTTCCATGTCTAGACCGGAATTGGCGACAAGCCGCTGTACAATTACAAGGGTGTGTGCAGGTTTTGGTTTCTTTCACGTTTTTTTCGCGATGCCCAGGACAGGTGGTGAGCTGAGGCACCTTGCGTGTGCCTAGGCAAACCCCCCCACAGGCGTTACGGCTTCGGTTTCATGTTGCACCATGTCAAATGTTATGCGACACAGCGTCTCGCACAGACCAGGCACATACCTCACGGCTGGACTTTTGTGTATGCGTGGTGTCCTTGCAGGATAAGTTGGCTCTGGTACAGACACTTGGCCCTACCCCGTTACGTCCGCTCACGACACATTCCTTTACGACTCCTAGTGCTGCGCACTATCCTCCTCCCCTTATCCTATTATTATATACGGATGGGCACAGCACGTCCGCTCCTTATACGCAGCGTCTCTTCTTTGCCACCCCTCAATATACTACTTTTCTACACGTCTCATTTTTTTTTTTGCACAATCCATATTTTGGCTCTTTGCATGAGCTTATTAATATCAGACCACAGAGGAAGAGGAAGAAGTACAAGAAGAAGAATACCAACAACAGACTGTAAAGGGCGCACATTGTCGTAGCCCATGGCAGTTTCAATTTCTTTTCGTTTCAACAGCAAAACATTGCACAATCTTTTGCATAGCCACAACAAAGCAAGAAAAAACAAAGAATAGAAGAGAATGCATTGAACAAATCGTCTTCATATCGCCATACTTGTCTTTTTTTCGAAAAAAAAGAATACCTGACCATATGAATCAGACTTACTGTCCCTACTGTACCTGTGTAAAAAAGGGTACAACCCCAGAACCTGTGTCCAGTAAGAGCAAGCAAGGCAAGTACACCAACAGGGTGTACCAAGTCTCTTTCTCCCTCTCCCTCTCCCCCTCTCACCCGGATTAAACCCGCAACCCGCAACCCTGCGCCCTTCCTGCGCCCCCCAAAGAGAGAGAGAGAGAGAGACAGGAAGCCGCAGAAACAGCAGTGACGAAAACCCCTCCCCGGATTCAACCTTCATTTTGGGGGAAAAAAGCCTAGAATATCCCAACGGCCACGGCCCGTTTTACATCCCTTATCTTGCCTTGCTGCACCCCATACACACACAAGTCAACTTGACTTTTTCCCCACGGAGGCCAAACCTACGCGCCAACACCCCATACATAGCCTCTCATTTTGCCATCCAGCGCATGAGCGGCTAAGCACAACAGGGCGCTAGGACGGGGATACAAGGGGTTAACAGATAACTGTGCGTGTGCATGTGTGTGTGTGTGTGTGCTGGCGCGTGGTGGCCACATCCCCCGCCCCAAGGCATGGCATGGCAATGGCAGCGCATTAACGTGGTATACATGGTCCCAAGGCTAAACTGGAAACCCTCTCCCCACTGATCAGCAGCGCCTCTTTTGCCATGGACGCGCCTGGGAGGTTGAGGTTGGGAGGGGGGGGACTGAGGGTAGTAGCATAGGATACTGTGTGTGTGTATTTTTCTTTTTCTCTCTTTCGCTTTGTGGATGGAAGGGCGGAGGGAGGTTGGGCGATGGAGGGGGGAAAAGGAGATGGATGTACGTAAGTATGGGTTTAGCTACGTAGTACATACATGCGCACACACGCACGCACGTCCATCTTCTTCACCTTCTTTTTCCGATATACGTACGTACCTTCAACCCTCCCTTCACCCCTCCAACCATCCGTCCATCCATCCACCCTCGTGCCCTCCGTTCCGCGCACCAACCCGCCCCTGCTGCCCTACCAACCCAGAAACAAAAAATAAAGAAAACCCAGTAAAACAATCCCACGGCTGCTTAAAGCAAGAAGCATAAGCAATGCCAAGGTACTCTATCCCCCTTCCCCCCCCCTCCCTTCCCTCAACGAAATATGCGTTTTCAATTCCTCTGGTTAGTTTCGACCGAGGAAAAGGGCTGTGAGGTACATAGTGCAGTGTGTGTGTGTGTGGGTGAGTGAAATAGATAGAGATGGAGATTACGTAGGGCTAGGATAAAAACAGGGTATCATCTTCTGCTGCGTCAGTCTTTTCTTACTCAGCAGGGCAGTCTTTGCTGAGCCCATTCAGACCCTCCTAGTCGTGGCTTTTATGGTTGTAGGGCTGGTAATATGGTTTGCATGGGTCGGCAGACGCAGAGCAACAGAACACAAGAAGTTCCGAATGCCGGATGACGACAACGAGAAGATAGGCTGGAAGTTTTGGCAACGGTGGAGGAAACACTAATGATGATGATGACGATTTGGAAATGTGTGTCATGCATTGTCACAGTTCACGCCTAGCAGTGAGCTTCTATTTTTTTTCTATTACCCTTCTATCAATGTGTTGTTTATATCCATGTAGAAAAATGAAGAAACGAGCAATGGTCCTACCTCTTTCTCTCCTCTCTCTCTCATTTTTTTTTCTCTCTGCCTCTCTCGCTCTCTTTCTCTCTCTCTTCCACAATCTCCATCCCCCTTCAAACCTCCAGCCCCCCAGCCCAAGCCCTCACCCCAGACACTGCATCACCGGACCTCCGTATCCATCTTCCGCCTCCCGCCGCCTTCTTCAGGCACCGCACATCCGTCCCACCCTCCGCTCACGCACCCACTATATTCACCGAGTGGCCGACGCGCCAACCAGCCAGCCAGCCACTTTCCCTTTCCCCTCATGCCTATCCCACCCACTTACCCACACACACCCCCCATCCTCCCCCGTTTCACCACCAACCCCACTCATTCGGCCCGCGCTCCATGCCCACACCCGCGCCTACCCCCCTAATCCCCGCCAAAAGGAGAGGGAAGCAAAGAAAAAGTAACCTGAAAACTTCCCTTGGCTGTGGATATCCCCTCCCCTTGTATCGTTCGTTGGCTGCTTTCCACACACACACATACTTCATACATACATACACTTATGGGAGGCGTCCAAGCAAAGACCACTCCCGCACCACACCATGCCAGGTATGCTATGTAGGAGGCACTCCCCTCCCCCCCCCCTTCCCCCAACAACGGAGTTACTTGTTTCATAAACCGCACTCGCAGCTAGTTATTCATCGCAGCGCATCGCATCCAATTCTCACAATTCACTCGCAGACGTAGCTTGTCGCCCTTTGCCTTGGCTTGTCCTGGCGGCTACTTACTTGGGTGTGGTGATCCACGTCTTGTACGGTCTTTCCAGGTCGGGTTCACGGACTCGTAGGATAATTAACCCCAGGACAGTCTGAAAGTAAAAGGCATACCCTGCAACGCCGTAAAATGTGACTAGAGTGTCGAAAGAGCCAACCAGGATGTAAATGGCAGTAAGGAAGGCGTTGAGCAGCATGGCAGATATGGGAGTGAAGAAAAAGCCCGCATCTTGGTCTGCAAACCAATTCACTAGTCTGCGGGATATTTTGCTCTTTCCCTGGCTTGCATTGAGGCTATGCAGTCTAATCGCGCGGTGATTCTTCCCAAGTCCAATGTTTCCGAACAGAGAGGGAAGATAGCCTTCCTTGCCTGCAGCGTACACAAGTCGGCCAGATGTAAATGTCGTTGCGTTGAGTGCGCCAAAACATGAGCCAGAGACGAACAAGGCGAGAATGAAGGCGCCAATGGGGCCAAACACTTGGGATCCAAAGGCCACGGCGACGGTATTAGACGACTCGATGACGGAGCTGGGAAGGACAAGAAAGTAGGATATGTTGGCAAGAATGTAGCAGAGTATGACGAGCGGGAGGGACGTGTGGATTACACGAGGGAGGTCGCGGGTTGGGTTCTTGAACTCAGCTGTGACGTAGTTGACCTGCGGATGTTAGTGAATGCAAGCTGACACGTAATGCTGGACATACATTATCCCAGCCGTCGAATGCCCACAGCCCAGCGTACAGCGCAACAGCCCAGTTACTGACGTTTTCGCTCGTGTCTGCAAACCAGCCGTGGTGCTTCCAGTCATCATTGGCCTTGCCCTTGTACGACAGACCTGTTGCTGCGACAACAATGCCAATGACGGTCACTCCCAGGAGTGCGAAGAATTTCAAGAACATGAAGACATCGGCGCTTCGCGTGCCCAGCTTTGTGGAGACACAGTTGAGCAACGTGACAACGACCAGCCCCACGAGCGCCACGCCCTTGTTCAACCATGTGCTCGCGTCTACGGCCTCGGCTCCAATTACAGCGCGCACGAGATACTCGCCAAAGATGATTGCGATGATGGCTGCCGAGCCGGGCTTCAGCACTACAACGGCGCACCATGTGAAGAGGAAGCCCGCCCACTCGCCAAAAATTTTCGACAGGTAGACCTGGGCGCCGCCATTCAGCGGAATAGCCCCTCCAAGCTCAGCATAGCTCGCCGCGCCCGTCCACGCCAAGATTCCCGCGACCAGCCAGACGAGCAGCGACGCGCCAGGCGATCCTGCGTTCTTGTTGACCTGCGAGGGGGATGAGAAGATGCCGCTTCCTATTATCAGGCCGACTACCAGCGACAGGCCATTGAGATACGTCAGGCTTTTGTTTCTCTCGAGCGAGCCGCCATTGAGCGCATTGGTCGGGTCGAGGGCCGGGTTTGCAGGCGCGCCGAGTGCCGTGTAGCCCTGGGCCGTGCTTGAGAGGGGAAAGAGGTTGGGCGCAAAGTCAAAGGCCGAAGAGACGCTGTACGAGCGATTGTGGCGCGGCCTGCTGGAGTCGCGGCCGGCCGGGTTCAATTCGGACAGGGGATCCTCTTCGTCGAACGACAGCCTGCGCGACGAGGGAGCGCCCGAGGTCGACGATTCGTGGGAGGACCGGGGCGAGGCGTGCGAGGACGAGGCGAGCGACGCCAGTTCCAGAGAGTCGCGAGTGGGCGGCGGTGGCAGGTTGGAGTAGCGGCCGGCCATGGTGCAAGGGAGGGTGGGAGAGACAGCGTAGATGCGGCACGTCTACGTGCTAGCCATGGGGAGCAGAGAGCGGGCCAAAAGCAAAGCAGCGCCCAGGGGCAGTATCCAGCACCCCTTTGTCTAGGCTGCAAAGCTGCCGTGTATGGATGGTGAAGCTTCGAAGGGCGGGTTGAAACCAAACGGGCTCCTCATGCCGTCATGGGATTGGGACTAGCTTCCGGGCGCTCTAGGCCGGTTTGGGCGATGGCGTCCCAAAAAAAATGCGGGAGCACCTTCACCCATGCCACGCCATGCCATGCCACGCCCACGCCCATTTAGCGCGAAAGCACCCGCGCATCCTTTTGGGCACCGCTACGAAATGCCCAAGTGCTCGCTAAGCTGACAGGTCATGCGAGGCCGACTTTTGCCATCTCCATGCTGGCGGCGCGCTCTCCGCCATCGCCCCGCCCTACAACACCATGGACGTATAGCTTCGCAATGGGCGAGCACGCTGAGCAGCAGAAAGGCCAGGGCTGACGCCGTGCGCGTAGAGTCGCTGACGGCCAAATGGCAGCCGCGCTGGGACGAGCTGGCCTCCCAATGGCACACGTTGCGGACGTCTGACCGCGGCAGCGCATATGTGCTGCCCATGTTTCCATATCCCTCGGGCACCCTCCACCTTGGCCATCTTCGAGTCTACACCATCTCCGATGTGCTGGCCAGATTCAAGCACATGCAGGGCTACAGGGTTCTGCACCCCATTGGATGGGACGCCTTTGGTCTGCCCGCCGAGAATGCTGCCATTGAGCGAGGCGTGCATCCTGAGAAGTGGACGCTGCAAAACATCGAGGCCATGAAGGCGCAGATGAAGGAAATGGGCGGCCGTTGGGACTGGGACGCTGTATGCAACATCTCCCAGGCAGGCAGCACAGGAGCTGATCCATCTCTACATAGGAAATACGAACATGCGACCCTGCCTTCTACAAGCACACTCAGCGCATCTTCCTTATGCTGCATCAATCCGGACTCGCCTACCAAGCCGAGTCCCTTGTGAACTACGACCCTGTCGACAAGACTGTTCTCGCCAACGAACAAGTAGACGCCAACGGCTGCTCCTGGCGCTCTGGTGCCAAGGTCGACAAGGTCATGCTCAAGCAATGGTTCCTGAAGATTAAAGAATTCCAGGAACCGCTCTTGAAAGACTTGCAAGTTCTTGCAAAGCACGACAGATGGCCTGAAAAGGTGCTTGCCATGCAGAAAAACTGGATCGGCAAGTCGGAAGGCGCCACGCTGTGGTTTGACATTGCATCAACAGGCAGTTCCATGCGTTTTGAGCCAGTAGACGTATTTACAACCAGGGCAGACACCTTGTTTGGAGTCCAGTACATTGCTTTGTCACTGCGTCATCCTGTCGTACAGCAACTAGCTATCGAGGACGAGTCGCTTCGCGCGTTCATGGAACAAGCAAAAGATTTGCCTCCTGACACCAAAGAAGGGTTCCTACTTCGGGGCATTGTGGCAAGGAATCCATTGGCCCATGTACGGGGCTGCACCGGACCTTCTGTCCCCGTCTACGTGGCACCCTATGTCTTGAACGATTATGGTTCTGGCGCCGTGATGGGTGTGCCTGGTCACGATATGCGAGACCACGCATTCTGGCGAGCCAACGCTGGAGATGAGCCGATCCGAGTGGTTGTGTCCACCAAGAAGAATGCTCTCCCACTTCCGCTTCTACCCCGAAGCGGCAAAGATGAGCCCATAACCGAAAAAGGGTTCGTTGCTGCCGACATTGAGCGTTTTGGTGGCATGGCCTCCAAGCAAGCTGCTGCTGAGGTCGTGCAAGCTATAGTCAACACTGGGAAACCAGCTTTGATCACAGCAAACTGGCGACTCCGCGATTGGCTTATTAGCCGTCAACGCTACTGGGGCACCCCCATCCCTATTATTCATTGCGATTCATGCGGTGCTGTGCCTGTTCCCGACAAAGATCTTCCGGTCGAGCTACCAAACTTGCCCGATAGCTTCTTCGCCGGCCGCAGAGGAAACCCATTGGAAGAAGACGAAACTTGGAAAAAGACCACTTGCCCGAAATGCGGCTCCGCAGCCGAACGCGAGACAGATACCATGGACACCTTTATGGACTCATCATGGTACTTTTTTAGATTCCTCGATCCCAAGAACCCCGATATGCTGGTAGACCCAGTCAAGGCCAACAGTGGTATGCCAGTGGATTTGTATGTCGGTGGTGTGGAACACGCCATTCTGCATCTCCTGTACGCTCGTTTCATTTCGAAATTCCTGGCTACAACCCCGACATGGCCAAAAGGCTACTTGGCACATGGTGAGCCATTTACCCGCCTCATCACCCAGGGTATGGTGCATGGAGAGACTTTTACTGACCCCGAGAACGGCCGCTTCCTACGACCGGATGAAGTCGACCTGACAACCCCTTCCAAGCCTCTTATCAAAGCCACTGGCCAAGTGCCAAATGTCAGCTATGAAAAAATGTCCAAGAGCAAGTACAACGGCGTCGATCCAGGCGCTACAATTGCCAAGTATGGCGCAGACGCCACGCGTGCGCACATGCTCTTCCAAGCACCCGTGAGCGATGTGCTAGAATACGACGAGAAGAAGATCACTGGTGTACAAAGGTGGCTGCAACGGGTTGTAAAGTTATCATCTGCTCCCTGGTTACCTGATGATGAGGTAGAAAAGTTCACAGTACCCGTCAACATTGACGACAATCTGCTCGTAATCCTGCAGAAGCTCTCTGGGATGGAAAATGCAGAGACCGCCTCACGCGAGACGCTGATTTCCGTACTAAAGCCCGACGAGGCCAAACTATGGATCAAAACCCAACAGACCATCGCCAGTGTCACAGAATCCTATTCTCAGACGTACTCACTCAACACCATCATCAGCGATCTGATGACGCTCACAAACACAATCTGGGACACGCCTCACGCCTCTAGTCTTACACCTTACTTGAAATGGCACTCGATTGCACACCTCATACGTATGCTCGCACCTATCGCTCCGGGTGTAGCAGAGGAAGCATGGCACCTTCTGAACACATGCACCGAGTCTCCAGAGGAGAACAAAGGAAACAGCATCTCATCCATCTTCGCCACAGGCTTTCCTCACGCAGACCACGCCATTATCCCGCTACTCACCACCACGCGTAACTGTGTAGTCCAAGTCGACGGCAAGCGCAAATTCGAAGCCGAAATCCCCAAACTCCCTGCTTCAATCAACCCCAAGGATAATAGAGCCGTGGCGGGCTTTTTGCTGGCGGAGTTGTTCAATACGCAAGAGGGAAAGGAGTGGTTTTGCAAGGAAACGGGCAAGATCTGGAAGGCTAGTGCATCAGATCAAGGTAGCGAGGAGTTTGGTGGATTGGTGCCTGAGGGCTGGAGGGTCATTGCTGTGAATGGCGGGGCTCTTTGTAATCTTGTTGGGCCGAAGCGGGGGAAGGAGGAGAAGGAGGGTAGGTAGTGGGTGAATGTGTACTGTATGAATAGATGGATGCATATGTATACGAAGAATGACTAGAAGTAAAATGTACAGTATGTGTTGTATAATAATGTAAGTCAATTTCATGCGTTGGGTAAAATTGACCTTGTAAGATTAAAGGTAAGACTGAAGTGCGAGATGAAGACAAAGGTAAAGTGTTTATCATTCAAAGGGAGTAGCATTAGGCACTTTTAGCAGAACCCACGAAGATGACGAGAACCAAGGATTATATCAGACAGACATTGCAGACGAAGAAAAAGGGATAAGACACAGAATTTTAGTCGTCAGGGGCAGCAAATCACAGGAATAAGGAGTGGTGATTGTTCAAGGATGAGAATTATTAATTGCAGTTCCTGTACTGGAACTACAGTTTTCTGAAACTAGCCCTGTAGATCTCTTGCGTCACACGCGGTCTTACGACATCATGATGGATGCCACTCCCATTACCTCAGCGAACCAGTTTTTTTTTGCTTTCAGAAAGCTAGAAGGAGAAACTGCTAACTAAGTTTACTTATTGCTAATCTTATTAAAGATCTGCAGTACGGACAAGCAAAAGGTTTATTAATAGCATACATTGTATATTCTTATTAAAACTAGTCAGTTCACCGCAGTTTTCCAAACAGTGGTCAGGACACAACTAGGACTTGGAGCCTGTTAAGTTTCACTGACTGCAACTCTAATCGCGCTTAGAATAGCGGAGTTGGCGCGCTATACCTAGGTTGGCGAATCCTAGGGGTAAGCGTAGGTTTTTATATAAGCTAACCCTACCCCTACCTACTCTAGTAACCAACGTCAAGTTTTCTAGAATAGGTGCAATTTTTGTTAAATATATACAAACCCCTTACAAGAAACTAATTACAGCAAGTTTTAAGACGTGCAGCGTGCGCGCTATAGAGCTATAAGCTATAAGAGCAGATAGTTAAGACACGTCTCACACTCAAAACAAAAACACACAGACCACTCTGCTTAACTAGCCCCACCACAAAGTGCGCGCGACCACAAAGTGCGCGCGCGCCTTATAACCACCTCAACCTCAACGCGTCGTATCCCCACCACTATGGCTAATATTGAGGCTGCGCTTGCAGCTATTAATGCCCTAGGACCTGATGAGCCTTTTTCGTATATAGATATTGCAAAAAAATATAGTGTTGTTCGATCTACGCTTACCCGAAGACACCAAGGCCTACACGCCTCACGCGCGATAGGTGGCCAAAAACGGCAGCTCCTCCAC